TTTGTCTAAAAACTTAAATAGTTTAGGTCCTAGTTTCGGCTATAAGCAGCTGGTGGTACTTGGAGTAGCAAATAATCTTGTAAGAAGTCAATTGTATGGAATGTGAAATACATTTGTAATCAATATATATGAGCTAGTATTACTAAACATGCAAAGTATCTAATCAAATACCCGCCAAGCAATATATAACAAAATAATAATAAATATAAAATATATTAAAATATTATATATTATGAATAATTATTGGATTAAACATAATATAATAATGTTTAAATAACATCTTTATAACTTCTTTATAATTTATTTATTAAATGTATTTTTGTTTACACTTTATTTGACAAAGGTGGTCGATACAACGAAACTGATACTTCATGACCATTGATGATGAGTGAAGTTGTTTTCGGTTGTGTGAAAAGAAAAATCCCTTTTTGGCAAAAATTATATTTTATTTATTTTTATTTTTTATTTTACAAGGGAGTACTTACAGTAAAGCTGACTCAAAGTGGTCCTCAAACAGTACATACAAATGTAACTACAGTTCGCCTTCCAATTCAAGACCACCCTTGATACCTTTGTGTTAAAAGGTTGAAGATTCTTATTTGAGTCTTTGAGTCGTTGGAAAAGTGGTCTCGAGTTAGGGGGGTCTTGAAATTAGAGGTGTCTCGAATTGGAGGGTGCGCTGTAGGTAGGTAAATATATTCATATATTGTTTTTTCAGGAGTTCACTTAGCATGGAATGAAATTGATATAAACTTTAGTTTGTACATATAAAAAGTGGAACACATTTTAAAATATAATTTGCACTTTTAGCTGTGGCAGCTTTCCAAATTACACCTGCAAACTGCTCCATATGTTGTTGATTTTCCAGTTTGTCACATTCCAACCAAAGATTGTTATAGAATAGTCTATTAATTAAGTGGGATATACCATATTTAGATAGTGTTTTGAGCTTATTTATTATGTTTTAGGGCCCATAAAAATAATAAGATTATCACCTTGGCCTTAGTATCATTTTTTTTTCAGAATCTGTATTATTTACAATTTGTTTTTATTTTCTGATTTTTGCTTCCATTGCATTACCTACCATGTCAAAATAATAAAGCATTTACTTGCAATTATGGTAAAACTTGCTTAAGTCACCTTTGCCTAACTCAAATAATTTCTAAATTGATCCTAACAAACTCAAATAATTTCTAAGTTGATCTTATTTTACATGCCAAATTGTTGTGTTTTCCATCAATTAACGATCTGTAAGACATATTTTATCTTAAGTCAAACAATTTTTCAATGCCATTTTGGATTCGACTTAAGCAAGTTCAACTGTACGTCAGTTGTTTTCACTGCTAACCATTTAAATGGCTTGATTAAAGATATCTCCACTTTTCCTTGTGGGCTGGGGGCAGCTGGGGTGATAATCTTGTGGGTTTTTTTTATTGGGCTCTACAAACATTTAGCAATATTTTGAAATGTGGAGTAGGATACAATACTTCACCAGTAGACATTTCTGCCTTATTTGTGTGATTAGTAGTTATCAAATAAAGCATTTTATAAGTTTACTTCACATTTACACTTAATTTGATTGTACAGTATACAGAGAACATCTGTAGAAAGTAGATACATATTTTTAAAGACTAAAATTCTTGTGTTAATTGATTTAAGGTATGTGTAATTTTTAATATGTGATTTGGTTGGACTATTATGTTTTATATTTTTTTTTACTTAGTAGTGATATATTAACTACTCTTCAATCAAATGACTCAATTAAAACATATCTTCATTTTTCAACAATAAAAATGGTATAAATTTGTAAATTCCACAAAAATTTGAACAACTCTCAGTTTTCATGACCATTGCAAATCATCTTCAGTTTAATTTCATGTGGGACACATACTCTGCATTTGCATAAAGTTTGATAAAGCATATAAATACAGGTCTTCCTTCAATTAAAGACCATTTTCGAGATTATGGTTTTTTTTTGCTCTTTAGCATCTTTGGTCTTTAAGATGTTAAGAAAGCTCCATTTAACCAGATCTTCCGGAAGTGACTTCTTCAGGGGTTTCCAAGTTGAAAGAAGTCATTTCCAGGAGATCTACTGATCCAGGAATTTGAAATGGAAGGGGAGTGGGGGAGGTGAGGCAGGGAGGGACTTTAACAGATTTAGGGAAGCCTACTACCTCAGCCACACCATGGTTGTTGCTGAGGTAAGACAATTTATGACTATGGCATCTCTAGATGGCCGGAAATGACACACTCAGACATAAATTTTAGAATATAATTTTCTTTTTTCCCCATTTTTTTGTTATAATTTGGAAAATGTAGGGGCCGTGGCTGGCTGTCCCCCTCCCTTTGAATCCTCCACTGATCTGCAGTGGTTAATTTATTACTGCACATAGTGATGATACCCATCGGCACTCACTTCCATGAGACAATTATAATAATAAAATATTGAAAATATGCAAATATTATGAATTTGCGGGAGATGTGTCATTTCCGGGAGATTCTTGCTTGCGGCAGTGCAAAAGGTCGCTCGATTTCTGGGAGACTCCCGCAAGTTCTGGAAGACTTAGGACCCCTGCTTCTTCCAACTTGGTACCCCTTAAATGCTCATCCAGGGCCATAGAAAAGTGATCTTTAATTGGAGGTGGTCTTTATTTTTATTTTTTGGGGGGGGGGGGGAGGGAGACCTGTTTGATGGAATATGAATGTATAAACAAATATCCAAAAGTACTGCATTGGAATAGTGTCTGCTGTTTTTGAAGGTGTCATTTTCCATTAGCAACACAGTCAAGTGTCAGAAGCATTGTCACTTCTAAATGATGATGTTGTCTACTTCTGAAAATTGTCAATTGTCAGTAGAAGCATTGTCACTTCTAAATGATGATGTTGTCTACTTCTGAAAATTGTAAACTGTCACCTCAAGAGTGTAGTTACCTTACAGTAAAGTGTGGTATCACAGTACATAATTACCATACTCGACTCATTTTTCAATCTTTCATTTCAGTCCTGTAAATTGTTTTATTCAAATTGCTTGAACTTGTAAATGTTCTAAAATAGAATCAGTTTTTTATGCTAATGATTTTTTATTTCTATTGTGCCTTTCACATCGTGATAATTATAGAATTTCTGGTTTCAATTTGCTTTTGAGTGAATACGCTAACTTACAAACATACTTATCACTTATTTCAATGTAAATGTGTTTTCTTTTCATCCAGTAACAAAAGTGATAATGTATGTACTGTATATGTTCCAGTAAACAACTGATAAGAGATATTTAGTGATCTCTGATTTTTATGGTTAAAATGTAAAATCAATGTGTGTTGATTGAGTTGAATTTTAGTGTTAGAATACCATACATGAAATGTAGATTAATCGATTGAAGGGTCAAGTTGTTTTATGAATAACGATTGGTCCAGTTGGTTTATAAATAATGCAATGGTCAAGTTTTTTCAAATAAGATTTGTAAATATTTTTAATAAACAAAAATGTAGGAACAAAAATATATTGGTGTTATTGAGGTTAAAAAATGAATACAAATTTTACAATTATTACTCTATAGGGATTAAAATCTATATGAACCTATGTATATATTTAAAAAAGATAAAATAATGCTGTGTTAAGCTACAATTACACTAGACACGATAACACAAAAAAAATTGGTTCAGTGTTGAGGAATACGACGCGATGATTATGTCCTTGTCGTGTTGTTATCGTGTCTAGTGTAAATGTAGGTTTACATGCATAGATAAAAATATTAGAGGGGTACAGCCACACAGGAGTGTAATCACAAGATTGGCTGGGTCTGGTCACATGGTACCATGCATATTAAACATGCATATTATTACAAATGAAAAGCAAATTTGGAAATTGGTATACCCAAAAAACTTTGAATTTGAAAGTCAAAATGGTTTTTTTTTTGTTTTTTTCTTATATATCTATATTTTGAAGATTGATTGCATTTGGAGATGTTAAAACTGTAGTATTCTTATAATTATGGTTAGGCAAGACTTTTATACCTTGTTTAGCGAACCCACTGCCCGTTAATAAAGATAATTTCAAATAAAAATAAAAATTTTATTTTTGGCCAATTACCACACCTGCCGCCAATTTTGTCTTTATTTTTATTACGCCTGCTGCTGCCTTGAAATCTTCAAAAATAAGATATGTATATTTCTTCCTAATTATAAATTTAAAGCATTTAAACATCCCAGTACTACACTGTTTACATTCATCGATAACATTTTATTTTTATTTTCTCCTCTGAATCTGGATGTTTTTGGAAAAATTATTTGCTAAATTAGAAAAAAAATTTTTTCCCGTCTACTGACGTTTAATAAAATAAGTTTGCGAAAAAAGGTATAAAAAAAATCTCGCCTTACATGTTTGACTATTTAGATATCAATTTTATCAATTGGAATACTTTACATGGCCAGAATAGATGGAAGCACCGAACAATTATCTCTTCATATACAGTACAGTTGTTAATTCCAAATAAATTTGTCATTCATTCCAAAATGTGCTCAATGTTGAAAATGCCCTCTGAGCTCCAGTCTCACATGTGACATCCAACATTTAGTACTTGTTAAAATTTCAATTTGTAGATGTTATTAATTTGTTCCAACAGATTATAATTGATAGTACGTTGTGTACAAGCTTAAAGAGGTTGGATATATACTAGCAGTTCGCCCTCCAATTTTGACCAATTTGGGTTCCGTCTTCACTTACAGAGTTAGCTTTGTGTTAGAAGATTGTTATTGAAAAAGTGGTCTCAAATTAGAGGGGTCTTGGAATTATAAGGGTCTGGCATTGGAGGAGGGTGCACTGTATCTTTATAAAGCATTAATAAAAAATAGTCTACAGCATTATTTTTAACAGCTGCCTTCCCTAGCTCGCCATCAAAACGCACATTTATTCACTGATATTTGAATGCAGCAGCAAATTGTTATTGTAGGCGTCTTGAATTATTGATAGTCGACACAATCAAATAAAACTTCAGTGTTTAAAACAAAGATGTTCTTGACTTGTTTTGTTTATTTCACAACATTGTTAGGTTGTATAATATCTTGAAGATATCATTGTTAGGTAATGTGATACAAATTATAAATAGAAGAGATACATAAATATTGTACCCATACTGGGGAATTAATTTTTTTTTTTTCACTTCATCACCAGTCTACTCTCCGGGCCTTCATTCATTTACAGCTGCCAATAAGTGACTTTTAAAAAAAAAAGGGTGCAAGAAGGCTTAAAGAAATCATGAGTCATTTCATTGATAGCACTTTCATATCATTTATCATAAACCACTAAAATGAGATGAGACAGCATTGGTCAGGAGCAGCTAAAGCAAGTTGTACTGGAACTCATTGAGAAACCAAAAATCGACTGTGTTAGTTAACCAACTGTGCCTGAAAACTGTACCCCTCGTATTTGAATGTCGCAATTACTTTCGATAAAAAAGAACAATATGACTATGACCACTAAAAGAAATAGGTTGCATGTTATCTCGCTCAGTTATTTTCTTTACATAATGTCAGAAATGCAGTGGTAAGATCATGTTTTATGATTTACAGAGCATCCTTCATGGACTTTCATATAATTTTTCATAACAAAAATATTTAGAAACCACTAAAATGAGATGAGACAGCATTGGTCAGGGGCAGCTAAAGCGAAGATTTACTGGAACCCATTGAGAAACCGAAAATACACTGCATTAAACCAACTGTGCCTGAAAACCAAGTTGAAAGCTGCCCTTTGACAGGATGCGGAAGTACGTACGTTTAATGTTGCTCTTTTGGCGTTCCATATACAGTAAAACAACTCACAGACACAGCTAGGGAATGCTGAGTAAAGAATGCCATGTGGTTGGACTAGCTAAAGATTCAGAGACAAATGACAGTAAACGTCATTATTTTTCCCTCAAGCTGAAATATGGAATTCTCAGATGGGGACTTCGATGATGTATGTTGTTGCAGTTTTTCAGACTGGTAGGTTTTGAATCCTGGACATTTTTTGAGGTCCTCAGTTTTTCTATTATGCCTATAGCCTTTGAAAAAAGCGTAACCATGATATAGATAGATGACCATCTTCATTTATTATCCAAATTCAGCATTATCTTCATCTTCTGCACTACACCATCATCCACTTTATCATATACAGTAGTCTTCATCTCTCCTCTGAACTCCTTCAATGATGCTTTATTTTCTTCCATTTTTATTTCTTTTAGTAAAGAGAACTGCAACTCTGCCATTTCTATCGCATTCTATTCAATTCTTAACTTCAACTTTCCTTTGGCTTCTCATCCTCCCGTCTCCGCTTTTCTGATGCTCCATGCTCCTCTGTGTTACCATCCTCCTCCTGTGCCATCTGTATTAATATTTCTTGTGCCTTTGTCCATGCCTCTTTCCCAAGAATGTCATCAGCTGTTAGTTCTAATGTTTCATCTGACGATGTCACTCTTTTAACATTTTCCCCCTTTTCAGCAAGAATTTCTTCAATGTTCCTGAAATTCATAAATAAAAAATAGAAATACAATTCATATTCATTATCATTATAATTAATAACTTAATCAACATTATCATCTGAATGATGATGATTGTCACTCTTTTAACATTTCCAACCTTTTTAGCAAGAATTTCTTCAATGTTTCTAAAATTCATCAATAAAATATAAAAATATAATTCATATTCATTATTACCATGATTAATGACCTAATCATCATGATTTCATTGGATTCTTTGGGAATGGCAGGCCAACCATCCACACAGATACAGGGGCACTATTGTTGTAAACAAACAGCTATTGTATTCTACTCGGAGCCAAACATTTTTGATCGTTAACTACTGTTCAATTACACTCCACTGTACTGTATACTATATTTATTACAGTGAATATTTTAAAAATATATCTTGTTCCATACCTGCCCTTTATATCTTGGAACCATCCCAAGTTGTCTGCAATAAGATGGTTCTTCTCGCAACCTGGACACTTTACAATCACAACACCTTTTTCATAAGCTTGCTTGGAAATTGTCTTAGTACTACGTGTCTGGCAGACTTTACAGGTGAAGACCAGTTGAAGCTTTGCATCACCAAGTTTACCTAATGGCTGGCTTGATGCAGTGCACATTCCTCTTGATAATGTGAGTAGGTGCAAGGTAAGTGACAGATATGATGAGCCTAGGCCCAGTGATGCAGTCTGTAAAAAAACTAAAGGTTTGATGTTGAGAGTTGGTAGTTTATATTTTGTTGAGCTATTCCAAAGCTTTCTGTAAACAGCATCACCCTGTTTGTGTGCAAAAGATGCTCTACAATTTAGAGGTTGCTTTAAACAGGCTGGTAACCATATTGATGTTTTTGGAAAGTTGCAAAGAGACTTGCAAAGGTTCACTGATCTTGCTGCCATTTTACTGTAATACTGAAACACACACACAAAAAAAATACAAATTATTAATTTACAAACACATCATTTTTTATCAACTCAAAGCTTTTTCTGGGCTAATCTTATTCTTATTCTTTCATTGCCAAACAAAAACATAACATAACAGTTATACAGTAAATAAAAAAAACAAGACTATCTGAGGTGAAAGGCAGGGACACAAAGTTGAACTAAATCACTATAACAAAAAGTGCCTCATCAACCCAGTTTTACGTAAAAAAAAACCTATTATAATAAATACAATTAAAATGGTTAATTAGAATAGAAATAAATCAAACAATTATGAATCAGATAAGTAAATTGAACAAGTATAATCAAATACATGAGCATAAATATATACCGTATACAAAAATAAAAGTAAATATGAAATTAATTAAAATTAATACACACCCGTGACCAAACAGAAATTTTAGAGGATTGAGGATAGTTGACATTAGAATTAAGAAGAGAATAAGTGAGTTTTTAAGGTTGTTTAAGAAGACAGAAAAAGAGTTGATATAGTTAAGGAGCCTTTAGTTTGGAAAAGAATGCCAAAGTTTTGGAAATTCATGAATAGCAGGGAGATGCAGACAGTTGGTCCTAGCTTTAAGGTTGAAATGTTGTGTATCAAGATAGCGAGTGTTGACCATGTTGTTTAATTAGGGAAACAAATAACTAGAGTACACAAGCTGACTATTTTTGTCTTGATATTCAAAAGTTTCATCCAGATTTGTTTAAAATAGTTCTCCATATTAATATTAATTATATATTTATTGATTATGATGTCTTTATTTTTAAGAATAATCTGCTCTTACCTCAAATGGGGGGGGGGCATAATATATTACAATACAATTTTGAAAGATTACAAGTTCATTCGCTACAGAGTATTTGTAGGAAAACTGCCAACACTCTGGTCCGCCCGACCCACCTTAATTAAGTAACTAACGTAGCCTAGGCTAGACCTACTTAGTTAGCCTGGGCCTCTGGCCTAGGGTCTAGCGCAGTGGCAGTAGCTAGGCCTAGGCTAGTAATGTAGGCCTAGGCTAGATACATCCCAGCCAGATTGCTGGCCAACCAAATATTAGACCTAGGCCCTAGGCCTAGTATTAGGCCTAGCGTAGCGGCTAGGCCCTATATCAAGCCAGGGGTAAAACCGCTTCTTCAACCAGTCTATGGTTGGGCCACAGTGGATTGCTAGAGAGCGTATAAAAACTTACTTTGTGTTTGCAAAGGAATACTCTGTTTTAGTTATTGTTTTGGTTTTGAACTTTTGTAATACTCAGCATGGCCTGAGTATGAACTTTACCCTGATATGAAGTTATGGCCAATCAAAAATATAAATTATGATGGATGAATTGTGCTCTCTCATCAAGGACCGGAAAGACGATAGAGGGCGTGGTTATGTTTTCAACATGGCAGCGTACAGGAGATTGCCAAATTCGAGGAGTTCATTCTGTATTTTACGTCGTTTTCTGCAACGAAACGGCAGATTCATTTCATCAACATCTACGTTTAATCATGGTATTTTTTATGTTATTGAGCATTGTTCATAATAGCTAAATACTATCTAATAGCCTTCAGAAATATTGCAGAAGCTAGGCCTTGGAGTGCTGTGTTTTGTGCCTTTTTTCTATCGATTCTTACCAGAGCATGGGCGATATTGAAGTGCAAGTGTTGCGCCAGGTGCTGGTGGTTTGTGTCACGGTGCAGTGATGGAACCCGTGCCGTGGTATGAATCAACGATTAGTTGCCCTTTATATCAGTCATACTCTATCTATAGTCACTTAATGACTGGTTGTAATTGTATCATTCAAGGTCTTAATACATCAAATGGTATTGACTGTACTGTCTAGGCAACACCAACAACACCCACGTATTATTAATAATATATAGAACAAATGTAACAAATCAAATTGTTCATGGATATTATAACCCGACATATGCCTACTACGATTTTGAATAAAGTACACAAAAAATTCTGATGCAATCAAGGGACAATACTCTTAGCCAACCCCAATCATATCTAATTATGCTGATTTTGATCCTATCAACATTGAGAATTATTACTCCATTATTACATTGCTTTTAACCAAAAAAAAAAAAAAAAAGAAACAACAAAAAAAAAACATCCTATCAACATTGAGAATTATTACTCCATTATTACATTGCCTTTAACCAAAAAAAAAAAAAAAAAGAAACAACAAAAAAAAAACATGACTTTTGCGCCGTGTATTTGTAGTTAGGTCAAAAAGTGAATTAAACTTGCCTATCTTTTCTTGAAGTTTTGACACAACTTTATCCAAATTTTTTATTTTATTTTTTATCAGCAGGATCTCAGAACCTTGAAGCTTTGTTGACCCAAATTTGTTTTGCAATCCAAATGTTTGCTACAATATTCTTCTATTGTCATTGTCGTTCTCTTTCATGTCGCGTTTTCTTTTATTTCAATGTAGATTTTTTTATGTGCTAAATGGTATTGTGATTTTGTGATGATTATATGTTCCAATTTTTTCTATTTAACTTTAAATGTATATTTCTTATGTATTTTTTTAATTTTTTTTGTAAATGCATATTTTTAAATTCTGTACAGCGCCGGTGATCACTTTGAGTGGATATTGTTTTGCACTTTATTAAATAAAGTTATTATTATTATTACTGTATTTTTTATGTATTTCTGATACAGAAACATCCATTCATGTACCAGATTGGTCAGAAAACTTTAGGTCTCATCATATTCCCACCACACCAACTCAGAAGTTGCTGCTATCTGTAGGGGCATCAATTATGGCCTTATATAACCCCTACAGGCATGGTAAGTTCACAGCACAATTTAATAGAAAACATATATGATCATCCACTAAACATATCACCAAATTATGACCAATCTGAATATGTTAAATCTGGAGAAAAGCCTCCCACTGTAGAGTGGATTAGACATGAATATTTGTAACACTTGCGGGTGCAGTATTTGATTTAATAAACCATCAAAGGAAGTCACTTATTATGTGCAATATGCATGCAAATACTTTAAAATATGAAGAAAAAGATGTTGGGCAATAGAGTATGTATCATCCTGATAATGCCTATCGAAAAAAAAATTAATCTAAACTTCTTGAAACTTTTCAAGGAGGCCTTTTTTTTTAAAGAAAATAATTTAGGCCGAAGCAAAAAGGAAATCATACAGGGATGGTTACCCCGATGCTATGGTTCATTTTAGCCCCTGTCATTGTGGAATGATGTGAATGTGAAACTATTATAAGTCCCTCTTTAGGCCTACAGCGTCTAGGCAGGCGTGGACCATGCCCGTATGCAATTCAGCACATTAATGCTACAAGTTTTGGGTTATTCTCCTACCTTTAAACTAACTTGATTTTACTTGATGCAAGTGCCAAATTATGATAATTACCTATATATAAAAGAGATAAATGACCTTTAGATACATGGTATTAAAATAGAATCTGGAGAAAAAGTGGCTTCCCACTGTAGAGTACATTAGCCACTTTAGAGTATTTGTAACACTTGAGGTGAAGTATTTAAAAGCTTTAAATTCATTGTCTAATTTAAATCACTTAATGCATCTTCTGGAAGATTATGAAAACCTGTGTATGCCAAAGTATGACATGGCTACTGCACTCTACTTTGTATAGTTCACTTTCACTAGCATGTGGGGCTTGTGATGTTAAATCCTGCATCAGTGACCAAAACAAGAAAATAGACTGTGTAATATATTCATGTTCTTCACATTTTAAGCTTTAAAATGATAGCATTTGATAAAATTGACTTACTATTGCCACTGTTATGAGTAAAAGTATTGCATCTTCTCTGTATTAAAGTATACAATACTTCCACATTCTTATGCTAATTACTCAGTTTAACAATTAGCGACAGTATGCTGGTTTTGGGATTGCAAGCTCAAATCTTTATTTACCTGTTTATAGTAGATATATTTTTAAAATGCTGTATTTGAATGCCTTAATATTTTTTTTAAGATATGGTAGCAGTGGCTGGAGAAGCAACTGGTTACTGGGCCTTAAAACAGATGCATACAAAAATGATGAACGATCCTGTTGGAAAGCTGATTCTAGAGTATGTTCTCAAAATTCGTGATTGTCAACATCATCATCATCATCAACACAACATCATTGTCTTCATAATTGTCATTCTTTCTTATTTTTTTATTTATTTGAAAACTTATTTACCCAGGATACATATTCATGCTGATGTTAAAGCCTGTTTTTAACAGTGGTCCTGAAAAAAAGGCTGTATACTGTTACAATGAAAATCATCATCATTGTCACACCATCGTCATCATCGTCATGGAAACATCAGGACCATAATTAGCACCATCATCCTTATCAACATCTTTATCCTCACAAGTCATTGGTAAACATCAGATTATCATCAGTGTAACTATCATCATTATCATCATTAAAATCACATTATACACATTACCATCATCATTTCCATCATCATCACTATTGTCATCAGCATTTAAATAGTATTATAATTATCATCATCCAAAGTCATTATTGCCAGAATTGCCACCATATTACCACATTGCTGTTGATGGTCTACAAATAATGTAAATTAAATTGTTTACAGTACTTACATCATGCCTAAGTTTCCATACAATCACTACACGCTATGCAGTACAACAATTGCACTGAAAACACTGTAGTGATTTTAAAGAAACCAGGCATAATATAATAATAAAGATTGCAACTTTTTTAACCTTCATGATCAATTCTATAATAATCTGTTCTGGACATTGGCTCTTTTCCTCTACATGGTAGTCTTGTTGTAACATATTTTTGCACAAGAACAGCATATCTTTATAGTGATCAGTAAAAGAATGGTGCGCAGTTAACCATTGTCATTTGCTTTACAACTTTCATGTTCAGTACCATGTAGAGTTCAATGATTTACTTGGTTTTTTTTTCAGAGAAAAACCAAGAATAAATAGTACAACAATTGATTTTGAGTGCTTACGAAGTCTTCCCAATGAAACACTTGGAAAACAATATATTTCATTTATGGATAAAAATGTGAGTTAAAGTGAGTCTTGTCTTTTTTTTTTACAAATATTTTTAGATGATTTCCTAAACCGTCACTCAGCACTAATATAATAAATTCTGATGTACAAAAATGACTTTAAAAAACATATTTCATGGGAATGTTTGCAACTAGGGACCCATGTCTCCCGGAAGCAAGTAAGAACCTCCCCGGAAAATAACCCATCCCCCACAAATTCATAATATTTACATATTTTTACTAATTTTATTATCAATTGTCTCATGGAAGTCAGTGCCATGCGCAGCAAAATAAAATTAATGTTAAGTAAGCTCATTTAAACAGATCGTCCAGAAGGGATCTCTTATAATTTAGGAAACCTGTGCTACTGTTGTTCAAACCCACCTCCAGTCCATTATATAATGCAAAATCAATACTAATATTGGAGGTATTAGAGTTTGATATATATTTTATATTTTACTATTACTGCTACAGTGTAACTTCCAACTGCGGCTACTACTAATACTAGTATGATGCTGCTATTAATACTACTGCTGCTGCTGTTTCAGCTACTACTAATACTGCTGCTGGGTGGTATACAGTTTTTAAACTGAAATTTTCGTAACCCAGATGTTGTCTAACTCTGCCATGGACATTTTGAAACAAGACATTGTTATGTACGAAAAGACAAGGTTACGAAATGTTAAAACCCTTTTACTACTACTACCATACTAGTACTAATTTTTTGTTTTAAGTCAGTATTTTCTATTACTATTACTTCTGTATATTTTAATTTTTATAGAATATATCTGCAGACACAAGAGCAATGACAAAGTTTGTTGATGATCCTGAGTTGGCGTACGTTATTCAACGATATCGTGAAATCCATGATTTTAATCATCTACTTCTTGGGCTTCCAACCAACATGCTTGGAGAAGTAGTCGTGAAATGGTTTGAGATGTTGCAGACTGGACTTCCTGTTTGTATATTCGGAGCAATCTTTGGACCTCTGCGGCTGAACTTCAGGTAACAATGTAATTTTTTTTTGGTTTGCATTTAAATATTTTCATTTTGCTGGTAACAATAAAACATACACATGACAATGATGTTGCCACTCTCATTTATCACCAATTACTTACCATCGTTTTCATTAAGACTTTCAACCATTTCCCTCTATCCATGGAGGTATAATGCTCTATCCAACACCCCCTCCCTCCAAATCACAACTATAACTACCACCGACTACAAATCAACAACTTTAAATATCACCAACAATTATTGTCATCATCATCATTGTTTCCTTTTCTTTTATATTTTTCTCCTCATTCTTATCACAATTATTATATAAATAATTTTATTTGATTATTAAAAAAGTATTGTTTAACAATAATATATCTACAAATTTTCTTTAAATAATTCATTTTGTATTTTTTTCACAGTAAGAGTGCACAATTGATGGAGGTGTATTTACCGTGGGTGATCAAGACAGCTAGAGACTCATCCTCTATTATGAATGTATATATTGAGCGTCACTTTGAAGATAATTTTGAGGAGTTTAAAGAACAAATTGGAATAGCTCCTTTACCAATTACATGATAGGTTAACAGATGTGTCAACTGACATAAAGCAATATTTGTTCATGTTTATTTAGGAATCAGTGCATAGACACAGGCAAGCTGATAACAGTCAAATATCATTCTTTTGTATTGTAAGTTTTTAGCTTTCAATAGTGAACACTAGAATGAGCAATATTGTATATGCAGGTTAACAGATTCGTAAACCATTTATGCTGCTTAAACTGGATTTTAATTGTAGGCCTAGTTTAAGTGGTTTGGCTCAGCAGGAACGATTTGGTTTCTCAACCTTGAAGTCAGGGTTTCAATCTCTTGCTGTGCATTTCATCTGTGTCCTTGAGCAAGGCACTTTATCTGCATTGCTTCTCCCCAAGGAGTACAGTATAGTGTTTACCTAGTCGGGTTAAATGCAAAAATACGTTTCTTTTGACACATTTTATTGTATTTTGCTGCATGTAGTGGTACCAATGGCAAGCTAACTTCATGTATTAAAAATATGCAAATATCATGAATTTGCGGGAAATGGGTTAGTTCTCAGAAGTTTTTTGCTTTCTCACTGCTAGAGGAAGGAAGACTGTGCGACTCGTGGGAGACTTCTTTTGTAAATAATATTTTATATGTAAAATATTTACAGTATATATTATAAAGAAATCTTATCCTATTAAATTCAATTCAGATATATATACAGTGTATCATTTTAGAGTGTTTTTTTAATGTGTAATATAATAAATTACTACAGTAATTTTTATTTTTTTTATATGACTGATCAGTAGCAGATTAGATTTTTTTGCTGAGGTGATGTGAGTGGCAATCAAGGACCTAAAGTCTGAAGGTTCCAGGACCTATGGTCAAGAGAAGGTTTTTTGGTGGATTTCATATTTGGTTAGTGATATTTGGCTTCTGCCATGGTATGGGTCTGTGCTGGGGTGTTGTAGTGCCCCTGAATCTACCAGTATTGATTTCATATTCTCATCCAACAGCAAGCTGTTCTCAATTTACAGGCTATGATGAAATACTCTCTTGTCTATGTAAGTTTGAAATATGTGGAATTATTTAGAAGAGAGTGAAGTATAGCGCTTGGATAAAATTAAACAAGAGACCCAAAGAGTATCACAGATATTTGCGTTTCATTAGCAAAGCTTTGCTGAATAAACAAGGCCTCATCAGTTCGAGGATGTGTGGAGTTTTTTCAGGTATTACAGTGTAGAACCTAATGGAATTAATTGAATTTAAAGATCAACCGTCTATTGTGAAATGGAGATGAACTTTTTAAGAAAATTCAATAAAACAATAAATTGCTCATTCAAATGCATTGAATTAATAACTCCATAAAATACAGCTCAAAACATAAATGAGCCTTCACACTAGTACAGCTAGTTTCATTCACAAAATCCTTGATTACCAATCCGTTCGTACATCTATGTAGGCCTATAAGCTTAGAAAGGTGGTAGAAGAATACGAAACACATGATTTAGAATCTATTTAGAATGATGATCGTATTTAACAAATAATGAAAACAACATTATTAAAAATACATAAACCACGAATTACGTTAAAAAAAACTAGGAATGTAATTTTTTTGTTTCTTAGGTTATAATAATGGACTACAAATACAAATCTCAGATATTAAGGTCAAACACACATTGAAATATATTGGGAAATATGTTTAAAATTTGTAATATTTTTTATGGGTTTTCAACAGTAGCCTATCAAATGCACCATTTTGTCTATTTGTCGGTAGTGTGCTCGTGTCAGACATATTTTGGTGGCCCCTTCCGGGTACGTTCTTAGACTCTATGGACCTAACTTGTCAATATTTTGGTTCAACTGGAATAACCGCAATAAATGGCATAATAGATACGATGAAGAAACAATACCAAATACTAAATTAAAGTTCTCTTAGTTGTTTTATTTATTTTATTTTATTACAACATTTGAGAATAAAGAAATATACAACAAAAAGCCTTCCAAGGATTACCAAAAGTGTAGAACACTATCGAGGGATCTCCAAGACAAACATATAAGTAAAAAACAAGATCAAAACAGCATAATACAATGAAAGATACACAATTATTTTGTTACCCAATAGTCATTTATTTCAATTCTTTCATTTGATTACCATTTAACATTATTTCTTTCAGTTTTCCTTTTACAGGTAACATAAATTTATAATAGATATTTTGATTTTTTTTAACACACAAAATTACACAAAATTTTCATTCACATACACCTTTGTCCTTTGTTTTTGACTTTTTACATTTTTTTGTTCATGTTCCTCTTTATATAAAAGGTAATTTGACTTTCATTTGCAAAGGTCTTTCTAAAATTATGGTTAAAGACGTAGTATTCAATGCGTTAGAATATTCTGTTACATATGGCAATACTTGCCGCATTTGGTCGACTGGGCTTCACAGAATGATTATTTAAATGATAGGTCTACACCTGGGTGGAGTCATGGGGTGGGGGAGATGGTCGTGTCCCCCACCCCACCGCCTTTAACATTTAGAGTGCTTTTAAACTTTAGCTGGCTAAAAAATGTACGGATGTTAAGTAAATAGTAAGCAGCTTTTTTTCTTTAGGGGTGGGGGTTATTATGAGAACAATTAAAGCTAATATTATTGTTGGCTTTAAGTCTCTCGAAAGATGGGAGGGTGACAAGACAGAAGACGGTTCTTCAATTTATTTAAACTTATGTTATTTATACAGGAGTTTTTTCTGCACTTATCTTGCAAATATTTGGACCCACACCAGTACCTCACAGCCTCGCAATAGGCCGCGCGCGAAAGGGGCATTTTTGAAAGTAGATTTAAATTTATTAAGCAAGAGGGAAAACTTTTTTGATGTATTGTTCACCTTTACAGATATTAAATCTTGATTTTACAAATATTAGCTAAACTAATCATTCATGTTATTGTATTTCTGCCTTCTTATAATCTCATAATAAAATCCAGTTATTGATACATTTACAGTAATAAAACAATATGCCAATAATCTTAAGTAATGCCATAAAGGGGTTACGGGTTAGCCTGAACTTAAAAGTATCTCTTTACCACGTTAGATAACAAACAAATTCAAATTGCCTGCTTTGACCAACGCAATTCAACAAATTTCCTTGCTTTGACTAGATGGATGTTTGTGTTTGTTTTTTTTTTATTCAATATAATTCATACATACATACGTACAAAATAAAAATACATTACGTAAACAATAAGAAGCAATGAAGCTGTATAATAAATGATTAGAGAAAATGGATACAAAAGGCCAATCAATGTAATATCAAATATGTATGCCAAACAAATCCATTCTTAGACTTCTGCGACCAGATACAGAAGAGCAACCATATATATTTATTTAACGTTAAAGAGATCAGTCTTTTAAAGAAAAATATCAATTAATGCCTTCCATTTTTGATTAAAATTATATTGACTAGGTCCTTTGTTCTTTTCTAAATAAAAATTAAATTTTAGATTTTTCAAAAAGTTGATTAAAATTTATCAAATGGTCGCCCTCTACAGGTAAACAGTAGATTACTTAATTAGTAGAATATACAAATTGAACAACAGATCAGGAGCATCAACCTCATAACCTATAAAAATTGTTTTATAATTTAACATAATATTTTTTTTCCATTTATAAGCATCCCATATTGATTTTGCTTTCGTACAATCAAACAATAAATGTTGCATGGTTTCGATTTTTGTCTTGCAATACGAGCATTGGTTTGATTCCACAAGTTTCATTTTATAGGCCTAATAATCTAGAATTAGTCACTCAGATGTTCATTAGAATTTTATATTGAAATATAGTAGAAATATAGTAGAATATAGTAGAATATACAAATTGAACAATGTAATATCAAATATGTATGCCAAACAAATCCATTCTTAGACTTCTGCGACCAGATACAGAAGAGCAACCATATATATTTATTTAACGTTAAAGAGATCAGTCTTTTAAAGAAAAATATCAATTAATGCCTTCCATTTTTGATTAAAATTATATTGACTAGGTCCTTTGTTCTTTTCTAAATAAAAATTAAATTTTAGAAGTTTCATTTTATAGGCCTAATAATCTAGAATTAGTCACTCAGATGTTCATTAGAATTTTATATTGAAATATAGTAGAAATATAGTAGAATATAGTAGAATATACAAATTGAACAACAGATCAGGAGCATCAACCTCATAACCTATAATAACTGTTTTATAATTTAAGATAATATTTTTTTTTCCATTTATAAGCATCCCATATTGATTTTGCTTTCGTACAATCAAACAATAAATGTTGCATGGTTTCGATTTTTGTCTTGCAATACGAGCATTGGTTTGATTCCACAATTTTCATTTTATAGGCCTAATAATCTAGAATTAGTCACTCAGGTGTTCATTAGAATTTCATATTGAAATATCTGCATTTTGATTTCCTTTGAACATCGGAAATGTAAGGTATAAATAGATGGATGATTTGCTGTAAACTTAAGTTCAGCGTAAAACTACATTTTTTGTTGTTGAAATCATTCTCAATTTCAATGGTTCCCAAAAACTATACCATCAATGTGAACTAAAGCCCTGTCCAGACTATCAAATTTTAATTGACGAAAACATGTGACGTGCCTAAATATGGTAATGATGACATCACATCATGAACATATATAGGCACAACATGACTATATATGGGCATGCAACAGTTTATTGTCAAAGAAAATTTGATAATTTGGAAAGAGCATTAGAGTTTACTCAACTGACAAAATCATTAACCATAGCCTTAATATTTGATAAAATTTATGTATTTATCCTCAGATGCTATTTGAAACTAGTGAATTTATTCCCTCTTTAAATTAACAAAAATGTATTTTATTTAATTTAATTTACAACGGGGGCCTCTACAGAAACAAGCCTCAGGGCTTATAGAGCAATCCCTGCATTCCTTTCTCGTTTTTTCTGTCTTTTATTTATGCTGAATTTCTATAAATTCTGAATTTTATTTATGCCTTGTTTTATCAATTGTATTTTGATATATTGGAGTGCAAAAAATTTTACAAACAAACAAACGGTAAAAATACAATAAAAATGTAATCTCTAGACAAACCAACCATCTCCAGATCACTAGCCTGGCAGCATACCTCTAGACCACCGTTCATCGTTTTGTTTATTATACTGTTCACCATCCAAATCGAGACTACCGTTGGGATGTGCGATGGTCTCCGGCTTCAATTTCCAAGCTTTGTATTAAAGATTGAAGTTGATAGTTGCTACTTTAAAAAACTGGTCTCAAATTATCTAGTTCTCGAATAATTAAAGAGATCTAGAATTTGAGGGTGAAGTTTTCATATGGCAGAAAACGATTATCGGCAACCTGAGATGTAGCTAGGTTGACGCTTTCAGTCGACATTTCAATCGTTTTAATTCCAAACATTTCTGAAATTGAAATTAAATCCATAATTTGAATTTACATCGTATTAACTATCATATATATATAATATATATTTATAATATAAATCATCAAAGGTACATATACAGTGTTTAATAAGGACATGATGGAACATCGTAGGCTACTCTGTAGCTTTTCAACGAATAAAGTCCTATGAGAAATCATTGTGTAATAAAATGGGCGAGATATGCTCTCTACTAAGTGCTGTTATCACTATCATCATCATCATCATCATCACTATTATCATCATCATTATTACCATCATCGTCAACATCATCACCATTATCATTATCTCTCATCTCATCATAAACATTATCATCTTCCTCATCATCATCATCATCATCATCATAATCCCCATCAGCATCATTATTCTCATCATCTTCATTCTCATTATCATCACCTTCATCATACTTATCATCAACAACATTACCATCATCATAATCATCACTGTATCATCACCATCCTCATCATCGTCAACATTCTCCTCCTCCTCATCAGATCATCATTTGCATGATCATCAAATTCATCCTTACTATCATGATCATCATCGTCATCATCATCATCATTTTGCATTATATTATAGGCCTTTTTTGATATATTGAATATATTTGTGTACCTGTAGATATAAATCTTCTAAAACATCACACTCATTTTTGGAGATGGTCGATTTAGAAGTAAATTCACTCGGCATTGTGCTGAGATTAACATCCTTGCCGCCATCTTTGTACAAAACATGCAACTGAAAAAATAATTAGGTTCTACATTCTAGAGACGAGACCGGGAGTTTTCAGTATAAATAAAGAGTTTTTTTTGTTGTAAAACAAGTAAAATATAAAATAAATTTATTAATTGAAAACATTCAAAGTGAGCGTTTCAAGAACTATTTTCCCGTATTAACCTATGCAAAGAGATTGAATTCCAATTGCAGCTCAAATCCTGGTTTTGTCGTAGGAGTTGTATTCTAACCTGTTGGTTTGTGGGACTGCCTAGCATGTTCGAATTTTCATAACTAGATATCAACATGTCCGAATCAACATAACGATGTATTAATTTAATGTGTGATATTAAAATATATATTAACGAATAACATAAAATAATAACAATAGGGGGTCTTTTATTCCTGTAATTTCCAGCAAATCTAGCTTCGGTGGGAAACCACAGTTGGGATACCACTGTTATATCGTATAAATGAAGAGAAACACTCTCAACCATCTTGTAGGTTATATAGGTTTATATTATGCTTCTATGTATCATATCTTGCTATTTATCTTACGTTTTTAATCGTGAATGTTTCTTGCTATTTTTATAGTTCAAGGAAAGTATTCGTACGTTTTCCATTTTCAGAATAAGATGTTAATTAATTGCAATGAACGGAAATACACCCTGAAGGCGCACGAACAATTTTTAATAATACTAAAATGTGTCCTTGTCCTATCATCATATTAATAAAATGAATTAACGTACAGATTAATTACATCTTAAAAATAATATAGGCCTATACCGGCCATGAATTATATATAGGGCCTATTAAGAATGCTTACTTTTGGTAAAAATACAAGAGAAAGAACCAAAGTGTTGGTGAGGAATATTGTAGTGCCAAACAAGACGAAGATTAGACCGAGTTTATTGGAGTGAAGGACGGCAGCTGGGACGGTTATCATACAGCAAATTACTACAGTGTATACACAAATTGCTATGTAGTGACCTACAGGTACAATGAAAAATAAACCAGGATTAATCCTCATAAAAAACGCTGAATTATAATCAAGTTGACATTTACTATAATAATGTAAAAATGAACAACAATAATTACAGTAATGCAAGTGGCGAATCCAGACTTTTTTGGCAGGGGTTTTACTTAAGGGGTGTTGATCCTATGGTCGAGAGAGGAACGTTTTGGAGTTTTCCCTTACCTACTATGGTGGTGCAGGGGGCTTAGTCTCCTAGAGGCGTTTTGGAGTTCTGAGCCATCTTAATATCTTATTCAAATGATTTTACACTTGGTTCGTGATTTTCTGGCTGCTGTCATGGTTGGGATGGGGAGTGGTGGCGAGCGTCCCTTTTTTCACCCACTGGACCCGCCACTGAATGCGATTGTGAAAGTTAGTATACGTACTGTCGTTTAAATGTACGAGTTTAACATTGCGTGTGGACCAGGCTAGAAAAACTCCAAACAACAACATGGCACCTTTATATGCAATCAAAAACGATGATAAAACTGAGTTGTATCTCGATGAACACTCGTACGAGACCTCGATGTATACAAGTTCTAAGTGCGGATTAGTTGTATCGTTCTGAATTAATAAATGAAGTGTGCAATGTTAGTAAAATCAGAGAACAGTGAAATTACACTGTTCCCTGGTAAAATCAAATACTGTAATAAGCATAGGCCTATACTTTCTGTGTTATATTGGAAGTCTATAACTTATTTCATCGTTAAATGAGCAATTTATCCATTGTTTTGCAGCAGTGGACCCAGTGGCAGAAGGAACCCCTTATCCATCCCCTTAACAGAATAGGCTACAAAATCAAAACGACGTCTAGGCCTATATACCACTGCAACATAATATCAGGAAAGTGTAACCCATCCTTTTCATTGTAATTTTATTAGTCAGAAAATCGTTATACAAATGTTAGTCGAATTTCGTTAAACCTATGCCAATTTATCTAAAGTTATATCTAATTAGTATACAAAAAGTAAATCTAAATAGAAATTAGGAAATTGCAGGTCTCTCCCTCTAATTAAAACCATCTCCCTCACTTTTCTGTGGTCTCAAATTAACAAATGTCTTTCATTGTTGCATTTACAGACCAAAGCTTTTAAAAACCATGGAAACTTCGGTCTCAAAAGTGGTCTTTATAATTTGAGGGAAGAGTGCTGTATAATAATATATGAATTATATTGTTCAGGTTTATTCGCTCATCAAGACATGTATTTTTAAATACAGTAATCAGATAGACCTATTTTTTAACGCAGCATTTAGGTTTTTGTTAATTTACTTAACTTTTAAATAACCAATAATTGAGAGGAAGAGGCAGATTTTCGAAAGACGACATAAATACGATCAACGTTGTCAACATACCTTCTCGTTGACCTCATGTGATACTATTTCGAATAAATTGAACCAATAGGCGAAGCCGTTAATTAGAACATCGATCAGCACAAATGCTGCAATATACGAAAACAGCGTACTGTTGTGGAGACCTCTCTACATAGCAAATTGAAATGATAGTATCATTTAAATGTATTATACATTATTATAAATAGATATTCAGTCTTATAATCCAGTGTATGCTGCAACGGATTGGGTATATTTATTGAGAATAAATATACCCACATACTAGAGATAAACATAATACATGAGCGTTAAGAAAGTATAATACATAGGCCTACTCCAAGTATTGAAATGTACGCCATCGTGTTTGGGATTCAATATTTCGACATTAATTATGTCATCAATTCCGCACCCACATGTGTATGTGATGTTGGTGGTAGTAGATGCGATAGATTAAAACGCGTTCAATTAATTACTAATTAAGTACAATTTGTTATCGTAACAGATTTAGATTAATTGATATTAGAATATTCTTTTTTTTTTACTGACCGCAGCTCGAAGTCGTGTCATGGTTGCCTTGAAGATGCTGTAGACACGATAGGTTTTCATAAAAAGAGCCCCAAACGCCATTGAAAACCCAACACAGGTAGTGAGTAACCCGAGCTGTAAGATTAAAAGAACGGATAGATGACTGGAGAAATAAAAATATATCAGTGTTTGGTTTTGACCATAGCTAAAAAGCCGGGCACAAGCAGCGACGGTCGTCGGTCGACGACGCGATTCCATGGAGAATGTAACGTAACGAGGTGCGTGCAACAGACTGCCACCGACAATCTGATCAGCGACGGAGTCACAGAGAGCGGAGATACATTCGCCGACCGACGGTCAGGGCGTAGTGTATGCCCGGTGTTTAACCGCCATTACCATCATCACAGCTTAGCACTACAATAATAATAGTAATATAAATGACGATAATAATAAATAATATTAATAGTATAAGTAATAACAAATAATATTAAATATTAATTGATGATAATAATGATGTACTGTACTACCAATAATATTGATGATATTGATGATGATGATAATAAAAATAACAATATTTATTTGTCCTAGTCATGAGGATCAGACAAATGAAACTGTGAACTCAGCAAGGAGGTGTGATTCATAATGCAGCTAATAATTAGCATCATCATTGAAACCTCAGGTAACCACTCTTACTTGAGTGAGACAGCATTGATAGGTACCCTGCTAAAGTAAGTGGTGATCAGCCTAATGCTGGAACCCACAACCGTAATTGACAACACCCATCTTTACCACGCACCACTACTGCCACCACAGCCAACACCACCATCCTCATAAGGATTGTTTTCAACTGATATTTTATAGTATTCAATCACATCATTGTGACAGTTTGTTAACCATTTATCTTACCTGACATGATACAAATACGGGTGAGTTTTCGCGGATCTCCAGTGACCATAGATACAGCACCATGGATACATACAAGACGATGCAACCAACCACTATCAAGCTATTCAACAGAGGACTTGATAGCTTCATTACTCTAAAAGTAAACAAATGAAAGATAGGGCCAAACCATATTGAAAAGAAAGTTCAATTCTGACTTTGGAGGTAAAAGTTCGTAAGGCCCGAGTAAAATAAGGGCTATAAAAATAGTGGCGGATCCAGAATTTGAAATAGTGGGGAGGGGAGGTGTCCAGGGAGGAGGACTTTCAAAGATGGCGGGACAGTATGAATCTGGCACCTCAGATGACCAGAAATGGCACTCTAGGCTTAAATCTGAATACAATTATCTTTTTTTCTCCACTGTTTATTCTATAATCTTGAAACATTTTTTTTGGTGGGGGGGGGGGGGGGGGGGGGGGGGGAGGGCCGAACCCTCTCTTGAATCCACCACTGAAGATATTACTCTATTTAAAACTTTAAGCTGCACCCCCTCTCCCACAATAAGGATCACTTTATAATAAACTGATAAGCTTTTTCTCTAGTGTTCCTAAATGTATAGCCATTTAGGGCTATCTTTTGACCTGGTGGGTTGATTCAATTTTTGGTTTTAATTGGTAGATCGATCAATAGCATTGTCAGCAATGTTTCAATCTTGTGTTATACTATAAAGTATCGTTTTGGTAGACTGATTATAATATTGATATGTATTTGTGAAATGTAGGCCTATGTCATCATCATTCCTGATGATGACATAATTAATGTCGAAATATTGAATCCCGATGGCGTGCATTTCGATACTTGGAGTATGTATTATACTATCTTATCTGAGATTAATCAGCGGACCTTTCGGTAGGCCTATGTGTACTGCAGTTTTTATTTTTAAATGCAAGATATAGATAATAAATGTCGCTATTATGTTGATGTGAACACATTGTGACGATCGTTCAGATGATTCAACCAATAAAATAATAAAATGAGAGTCATGATGGAATTATTATGGGAAATAGGCCCGAATCGATGTTTCTATCACGACAGCCGCATTATAATGAAATGATCTATACGGTATGCATTAAGAGAGTAGGTATTCAACATAAATAGTACAAAACAGCAGATTTCAAATACAGTAATTATTCAATGTATAAGAATCCGTATTTCAAAGGCATGCGTTTTCCCGATGTCGGTATTGATAGAAAGAACGACATTGTGGATGCATTTCTATACAGTACATATATTGTTTAATGAACACTGACTGTAAATTAAAAAAAAAAAATGATTCAATATCTTATTTGTGTACAGTTGAACTTGTCTAAGTCAACTTTGCCTAACTCGACTAATTTCTAAGTTGATCTTATTTTAAATGCCAAATTGTTGTTTTCTATTAATTTACGACCTGTAAATCGAATTTTATCCAAGTCGGAAATTTTTCAATGCCATTTTAGATTCGAGTAAGGCAAGTTCAACTGTATTTAAATAAGTTATCATTGGTTTCCCGCAATTCTCCAGCAAGTCGCAGTAGTTTCCCGGAATCAGCGCAGCTTTCCAAGCTCAACACTTTTATTTATGGCACCCGTTCATCAAACCTGATGCTGGGAGAGATGCAATTCGAAATGCTGAGTCACACGTATAAACTCTTTTTTATATAGCTTAATTCGAAAAAATTTCAATTTAATAAATTAATACCATTTTAAGTATTTTGGTCATAATTTTAATATATTGTGTTAACTTATTTCTGTTTTTCAGGGATGGGTTAACAAGCTTATGAGCTACAGAGATTTCAATTGCTTTTGTTAATCCTTGTCCCCTTAGACTTACAGTTTTTCTGTATTGTCAGTTTTTTTACTTTTTTTTATTTTTTTTTTTATTTACTGTAAGTACAAATTGTATTCTGATTTTTATGAAAGGAAAAATAAAGTATGAATGAATGAATGAATGGTTGATATCTCTCGTCAGTTTGTACAATGAATACTGACGTTAAAGAATATCTGTATAATAACCATAGGTCTACTTCTTAAGGCAGTGGGACATATACTTTCATATAATCATAATACAACAACATCTTCACGTCTTACCGAGTTTCCCTGTATTTTATATTCAGTACTAGTAGTATGGAAGCGTATATGATGCCCAACCCCGATAGGATGTAAATGAATACCTTCTTCGACTGGGAAATAGTTAATTGAATTATTTCATATGTAGGCCCATCAACTGGAACAAATCCTCCTGTATATATTAATAATATAATTTACAAAATTAATAATAACAATAATGGAAACAATAGTGTGATAATAATGATGGCAATGATAGTGATAGGCCTAATGATAACGAAAATACTGTTGGGCTAACGATGACGATGTTGATAATGATACTAATTGATTGTTTATCAAATTTTACTTTTATCATCACCATAATAATAACCTATATACACCTATACATGTTTCTCCTGACGCAAATCCAGTTATTGTCTATTATTCCATCACGACAATAACAATTACTATCATAATAATAACATTAATAATAATATTCATATATTATTTAGTGTAACAATTAAAATATCATTATCATCATCATGATCATTATTACAGTATTATTAGTAGTATAATATCATATTTAGTATTACTATGGTATTATCTTATATTATTATATGAAAAAGCTATTCAAAAAACATGCATGGATAACACAATACCAATAATGAAAGGGACAAATAGTAATGATAATAATAAAGATGATTAATTTATTAATTTAATAGTATTATTGTAGTAGTGGTAGTATTAGTATTATTATTAGAAATATAATAATAATAATAATAATAATAATAATAATAATAATAATAATAATAATAATAATAATAATAATAATAATTTGCGATTTGTATAGCGCCTCCCGTTGAACCAACCTAGAGGCGCTTGACAACAACGAAAGCAAACGGACAAGAAATTATAACATGAAACTAGATTTACAGAACTATTGAAGCCTAACCGAACTAAAAACAACATCGCACCGTTTATCAGCAATTTAATTATAATATGTTATTCTTACTGTTAATATCATTATACGATAGGCATATTATTCAGAATATGCTTATTTCACAGGATGGCTCTTTCAGTATTTTAACACAAAGGCATGAATAGGTTGATATAATATACCGAATTTCCCATAAATAATTGATTTCTGGCAGTTCAGTCGAATAGGCCTAATGCTAACATAGTACATAAAAAATCCAAATACAATACATGCGAATTGCAACACTGCACCTTACTGTTGTTATTACACCAATAAACGAGAACCTCAGTATACTGTACTCACATTGAAATATGTTACAATGACACAAACGATTACGTAATGTCTTCATTCTTATTGTTTTTTTTATATAGCATTGTTATTATTTATTTATTTATTGAACCATATTTCAAGAGAGTGACCCATCCAGCATGAGCTGACTTTAAGGGGCCCTCAACAATTACATCATCACCATATTAATAATAGTGATAACTATTTTTATTGTATTAATTTTTGTTGTTTTTGTTATGATGACAGGCACCAGTTGCTACAAAAGATCGCAGTAACAAAATAAACTCACCACTCCATTTGAAGGCGTTTATAAATCGAATATCATCTTTAAGTTGGTTATGAACAAGGACCTGTGTGATATTCCCATCTTCAAAATAAATACATAGAATTAAACTATTTTTGTTCATTATTTATTTAAACAAAAGCATCCATGTTAAAAGAATAAAATCATGGTAGTAGCAGCTTAAAGCAATGCATCACTGGCCTGCACTCACAAGTCAGTTCCTCTTGTAATTGTAATAATGATAATAAATAATAATAATAATAATAATAATAATAATAATAATATGATATTAATGAGATTAGTTTTTACCTTGCAATTGTTGAACAACGGCTTCACTTTGTCGGCTACCGTACTCATCAAATCCTACGAATCCCTGTGCAAAGGACATTGTTCAAATTAATTAACACGTGACATGATCTATTAATGAAATAGGCCCTATATAATCAATTCGATGTGACACGTGCAGTTTTTCTAGGCCACCTACTGTCTTCTTGATGGGAAATAACGGTGTTTATTAAAGTAGGTTTAATAGTGTAAAGCAAAGGTGGACACAGCCTATTTAAAACAAAACAAAAAACAAAAACAAAAAAACAACATGATTTTATAAGCATTGTATCATCATCATCATCATCATCATTACCTTATCATGATCATCAGCATCACATTACCTTCATCAGCACCACTCAGTGGAAGTGTTTTTATGATTATTATCATTATCTGGTATAAAATCAGGGTATATCTTTAAATTCAATACTTGTTATTTTTCAGTAAGTTAATACCAAAATTGATTTTTCAGATTGTTAAAATAGGTATCTAAATCTGTATTTGCTTGTTTTCGATGTGATATTTCTCTGCTCTAGGGTCTAATATACCGCATTATTGGAATTAAATAAATTAATTGAAGTAAATTAGCATTCCAGGCAACGGCGGCGGAACGTTTTTGAAAGTTGGGGGGGGGGGAAGGGGNNNGGTGACATTCATCCAGTATGCGAGCGAAGCGAGCATGTAGCCTGGGGGCCAGTGGGGGGCACCAAGGGCCCCGGTGGAAGCCCTTCTGGAAGCTACTTATATTTTACTAAGTTTGGTGAATTTTATAAGTTATTTTATAGGCATCAAGCTATTGTAATGATTTCATATTTGTTGTAATTTCCAGTGGCGGATCCAGCAATTCGAAATAGAAGGGCCCAGTGAGGGTACTTTCACAGATAGAAGATCTATACTAAATCGGCCCCACCATAGTTGGGGCTGAGGTAAGACAATTTGTGATTATGGCACCTCTAGATGGCCGGAAATTGCACTTCCAGACATAAAATTTGAATATAATTATCTTTATATCTCCATTTTTTTATTGAACAATTTAGGGGGTGGGGGCGGGCCGGCTGGGTCCACTTGAATCCGCCACTGGGTACTTCAGCAGATGGAGAATCTATACCACTTCAGCCCCACCATGGTTGTGGCTAAGTTAAGAAAATTTGTTATTATGGCACCTCTAGATGGCCGGAAATCACACTCTCAGACTTAAGATTTGAATATAATTTTCCTTATATCTCCATTTAAAAAAAATTGAACAATTTAGCCTCCCCCTCATCTTGAACGCGCCATAGATTTCCGAACAAAGTCGAAGTCGAGATTCCACGACCTCAATGAATTATTTATCATGAGTGTTATCCTTGATATGGGTTCCCGGACGAAAACTTCACTTTTCCCCGATGGATGAAAATCACCCTTCTATCCCGCAGAATTTTTTTTTTATAGAATTTTAAAGAAAGTCTATAGAGGTTTAAGAGTTTTTTAGAATTCTATAACAAAATTATCCAAGAATAATTTCTCTATATAAAACATATCCATTCTCTATAGAGATAGTTCTATAGAAATATAATTCTATAGAAAATGATCCAAGATTTTTTCTCTATACAAGACCCATTCATGCTCTATAGAGATAGTTCTATAGAAATATAATTCTATAGATAATCACTTAGAAGAAAAAATTTATATGCTTTTTATAGAAAATAATTTTATACAATTTCTAGATTTAATTATATATTTTCTCTTCAGACTTTTTAAATATAGTGTCTATAGAATTTCTATTTTTCTTTCAGAAAAATCCTATAGAATTCCCGTTTTATTCTGATATATTTTCTATGTAATTTTGAAAGGTTTTCGATAAAATTGTTCATAAAGTCTTTAGAAATTATACAGTTAAATGTATAGAATGAATAATATACAATTTCTATAAAATTATAAATTGATTTCTTATGGAATTAATTATTTTTTACATCGTAATTGGGGATTTATATTAAAATTCTATATACATTCTATATACGTTTTAAAGAACGTATTGGCAGATTCCATGGGAAATAGGCCAATGTAAATACCGTATTGTATTGAATTTTATTTTATAACTTTATGAAAACATTATAAACAATTCTTGAATTTTAAAATTATCTGGATTTTATCAACATTTCACCTGCACTTTATCCCAAAACATGAATCGATTTCTATGGAACGCCGTTCAAGCAACATTTTTATGATAATCAGTAAACCGACGATGATGAAAAAATTAATCATTTTAATTAATCAAAATTAATCTCCTTTTCATTCACATTGCGGTCGTTTAAAGTTAGTCATTTTAATCTACGTCAGTGTGACCAGTGATGTAAGTCAAATTAGGCCCGCCTAATGAAAGCAATACTTAATGTCATATAGCCGTCGGAAGCATTTTGCAAGTGGTCATCCGGCCATTAGTCAGAGCGGGGGGGGGGGGTACTTAACAATTTTGGTTGTAAAAAGACTCGCTACCCCTATCCACGGACGCAGGATTTTAAAATCAAAATTAGTGACCAGGGTCTGAGGGCATCTACTCCAGACCCACGATGGTTCAATTGAACAACATTTTTTTGCAACTCTGAATGCCCAGAAATAGATGCTGACAACTTGGGCGCCATAAGAAAAAGTTAGCATGGAGATGTTGGAAATATGGTACTTCTCTAGATGCCTGGAAATAGAAGCTGGCAAACCTGCCACCACCCATCCACATCTGGACACAGAATGTGGTAGCATTGACCAAATTAAAATTCGTAGCACTATTTTACATCTTGGGAATCAGATAAATGTTCTTAGGTCTACTGCGAATGATAGGGGCCTATATTGCTGATTTAATTAAGTTGCTTATTTCTCCATAAATTAATTGAGTGCAAGGAACACGAATATTATATATAATGCAAGGAATAACAATGATAATACTATAATTATATTTACACGACGTGAAAGGAATTGTGAAATATGCAATTAAGTACAAGTGCAAAAAACACGAATTTATCATTAAGATTTGATCACCCAATTGATCAAAATTGCCTTTGCATAGGGCTGGATAATCCCCTTATCGCGTCGAAGCGAATTCAATGGCTGGTCGTTGAAGCGTGCGAATTGTACCATTGTAAAATAGGGGTATTTAGTTTGTGTGAATGTAGAGAAAGTTGTAGGTGCATGCTCATAGTACCATAATAAAAAAAAGAAGGTAATATTAGTATTATACTACAGTAGGTATACATTTTTTAACATTGTAGAAATGTGCCTATTACAGATGCTTCTACCGTGCACTTGCATGACCCATTGAAAATGGTATGGTCTGATTATCAGATCTGAAACCGGAGCTTCGCCGAGGAGAATACGTGGGCCTGAATATCGTCATTTATATACTGTCATAACTACTATATTTGTTATGTAAATACATTAAAAAATATATCTATACGTTCACCTACAAATGCACAAACTAAAAATCAAAATAATATTTTCAAGATAATGCAAATAACATTCTAAATTTTAACTCCAAAGTTAAACTCCTTCTGCTCGACAATCGGTCGAATACTCGTTCGTCATTCTAAAGCATTGACTTCTAAACTGACTTGTGATTGATTCTTACAAAAAATAACAAGTCTGACGTCATTTATTAGCAAATGAAATTGATTTTTACATGTGTTGTAGGTAATAAATAAAGCTACATGTTGCCACACACAACAATGCCGAAAATCGACCCAATATTAGAGGAGCTACTACAAAAAAACTTAGGGCGGTTCACCACATTTCTGCTAAAACCGTAGGTTTTACACGGAAAAATTTGAAAAACCACGGTTACAAAATTAAAAAGTCCGACGAGATTTGGCAATTTTATAGATTAAAATTAAGATTACTAAAACTGTTATTAAATTTGGAATAGGATTAAAGAACAATGGCGAAAATCGGACAAGTAGAAGTAAAGTTATGAAAAGAAATGTGCGAAAAAATAGCGAAAACAGCTGAAAAAACGTTTCGAATTAAATTCAGGCTCCGGAGGAAAAAAAAATTGATATGTTGTAGAACTGATTTTTCTAAGACAGAAAAAAGTTGCAGTTATGTCCCTTTTTTCAACAACTTTTTTCTGTCTTAGAAAAATCAGTTCTACAACATATCAAAAATTTTTTTCCTCCGGAGCCTGACTTTAAATTAAATGAATTCGCGACGATCAAACTATATCCTAATGTATAATGCAAGGAATATCAATATGCAATTAAATAAAACATGTTTTATGAATACACAGGATACAATATGCTATGAGTTAACTTTGGAAATACAATAGGCCTTTGCCTACACAAATAACGTAGAGTTTCGACAAACATACTGCTGGAACAAGTTAAATAACACTTATTTACCAAATTCACCCTGAAGCATATTCAATTATTTATCACGCTCTATATGAGTTGTACTATCACTTGAATTGTTAAAAAAATGTTTTAATTAATGTATGATTATGGCAACTTTATGGCCAGAAATGCCACTGTGTGAGACCTAAATTTGAATACAGTTTTCTTTTTTTCACCATTTTTTTAAAATTTTTTTTTATTTTGCAAAATTCAGGAGAGGGGGGCCTGGGCAGTATCCCTCCCCGATTCCGATACTTAAATCTATACTGTAACCCTCACACTGCTTTCTAAGTCATTTCCTTTAATATTCATTCTGCTATATCTGTCATCCCTGATACTCCAACTGTGGCGGGTCCAGGAAGTCGAGATAGAGGGGTTCCAAGGAGGTCTTGCGAAAAATAGAATGGCCACCCGCCTCAGCCCCACAACTGTTGTAGGGCTGAAAAAAAAAATTGGATTATGTCACCTCTAGATGGCCGGAAATGTTTTCGATTAATTAGATGAAGTTTAAATGTGGTTATATTACGCTAGTTTGAAGGTTTACAGTAAGCCAATCAGTTACACTTACTATAGGCCTACATTTTCGTGGTTAGTATAAAGACAACTAGAACGTCGCTCCATTAAGAGTGCCTACCTACCCCCATATGCCTAAATACAGAATTCACGAATGCAGGCGATTTTTTCTTCATGCTCGATGGTGGGTTTCAAGGAAACTTTACAGACGCACGTATACAGCCGTCAATCAACATTTGGTTGCTCAACTCAAAAAGGGAACTTGTAATGTTCGTTAGAAAATTTAAAAAAATCTTTATTTTATAATAATAATAATAATAATAATAATAATAATAATAATAATAATAATAATAATAATAATAATAATAATAATAATAATAATAATAATAATACTAGGTCAATTTATAAGGCGCAAATAAACAAGGTGTAAGCAAATAACCAAATAATAATAATAATAATAGGCCTAATAATAATAATAATAATAATAATAATAATAATAATAATAATGATGACATTGCAGCGTTCGTAAAATGTTTGTCACTGGTGCTGGGAACACTCACAAAAGTTGGGGGTCTAGGCCCCCAGTAGAAAAAGTGGGTGGGCCAATGCCCCCCGTCCCCACCAACACACCCGCTTCCGCCGCCGTTGATTCCAGGTCATCAAAATGTGTTGACAAGCTCTAATTGTTTCCGTATATCAGTGGCGGATTCAAAGAGGGGGAGGGGCATCATGGCCCGGGCCCTCTGAATTTGTTAAAGTTACAAAAAAGGGAAGAAAAAAGAAAATTATATTCAAATTTAGGTCTGAGAGTGCCATTTCCGACCATCTAGAGGTGCCATATTCATAATTTTTCTTAGCTCAGCCCCAATCAAGGTGGGGTTACTCCCTTGGCCCCTCTATTTAAGAATTCCTGGATCCGCCACTGTATATCGTTAGTATTCGTTTAAAGTTTAAATTTGGTGAGTTTCTTACCGTTAGTCCATTAAATTTTACGTTCTTTGCATTCTTGTAAATTATATCCGCCATGTATTTAGATTCGTACGTGAAATCTTCAAGTCTTTTCGGCGGGCTCAACTGTTTTAAATCTTCAATGGAAGCATTCAGTGCAAGGCTAATTGTGATGATCTGATCGTAGCCGTAAGAATCGCAAGCCCCCGATGTCAACAGCATGCGCTGGAGATGCTCCAGATACTCTTCATGATCCTTCGATGGACGCTTAAACGAATGTTAAAATATTTAACGAGAGCATGTGTGTAGTTTGCCGCCATTCTGGGGCGGATGCAGGATATGGCGGTAGAGGGTGCCTGAGAGTTCATACCACCTCAGTCCCACGATGGTTGGGAATGAAGGGTGAACATTTTGAGAATATGGACCGGGAATTGCACTCTCATAAAGATCTTACCGGTAATTCATATCAATCACAGTACAACAATTGCTTTTTTTAAATACAATTTTAGGGGTGCGATCGCACCGTCTGCACCCCCTGCATCCGCCAATACGAGCATTTTGACTGATAGATATACAATACAATGAACCTATTAATATACCGGTACTCATTAAGATATTGTGTCTGTAGTAAGGATAGAAAATAGCTTAAAAGTTTTATTTATTGCTAGTTTACAGACTTTTTTTCTTCGAAAATTGTTAAGCAAACTAACCAATTTCAATTTTATGCGTCTGTAATTGGTGAGAAAACTAAAGAAAAGTGCAAAACAGACACGTTTGGATAGGCCTAAGCGTGTTAACAAGAATCTCTGTCACAGCAAACCATGGTAACCGGGTACCACTTCTTCAATACCGAATCTTAAAATATTAACTACAAAAATGTATTCTCTTAACATTTTTAGGGAACAATTGGAATTATTATGCATTCATGTAAGGATTGGTTGGTGTAACCAAGGAGGTAGGCCCTCCTTGGTGTAACATGAGATTGGTTTTATTTTGTTGGGAAGTTCAGAATATATATTTTTTTTTTTACCATATTACTTTTGTTTTGATTGTTTGGTTATGTAATTTTTCTGTACGTACCGCCACCTGTTCCAAAAGTGTACTTTCAAGTAAATAAACTAAACTATAAACTATTGTAATATTACAGTATATTAAGCCTACCTCGCCATTAAAATCTAAACGTGATGCGTTCTGCTGAAATTCAAATCCACGCATGCTCAGTGTGCCTTCTACCGCAATTTCCATTTCTTGTAAAGTACAAAAGTCATGGTTTGTCTCCCTAATCTTCTCTGTCTCTTCGACCCACCAGTTCGTATGGTACCACCCAACTATCATCCACACATGTTTCGGGGGGTATAAGCCTTGTCTATAAGCCTTGAAAAAGAACAGATTTAGTCATTTAATATGAGGTTTTTCTGTTACGCCCATAAGGCTATAATAAATGTCATACCATATTTATTCGAATAAGGCTCAGCTTTAAATAATTGCCTTCTGGAAAACTGCCCTCCAAAACGAAACTTTGTAAACGTCCCCTTAAAAAACGAAACAAACGCCAAAATAAATACGGTATTAGATACATGGAGTGATGATGATAACTATATAAGTCTATATACATTTTGAGTTTATAAAATGTAAAGCTCGATCTCTACATCAATACAGAGTGACACAGAACAATATTAAATAGGTAGTCCTGCAAAGGTGACTTTGAAGCTAATGAATTCTAAAAAATATCACATTTCTTTTTTCTTCAAATATTACACCACGTGTTCGTACCTCGCAAAATATCTTAACCGCCATATCTTGGTAAAATATACCAACAATAATACGAGAATCATGCTTCTGTGGAAACAAACATATGAAAAAGTTACTGGCTATTTGAAATTTAACGCTGAATATCTTTTGAGATATTAATATTCCTGTATAATATTATTAAAAAAATACCGCATGTGCGCAGAGATTAACACATAACGGAAAGGATGATACTATTATTACTGTATTTGGCCTACTGTTCCTAATCACTACACACAAATTAAAATGAAACAATTTCATATTTTTGTCTCACCACAATAATAGGTGAATATAGCTGTATTGTTGATTTATTTTTTATTTCAAACACCATGTATGTACGAAATAATCTCCTAAAAGAAAGTGGTGAAGTCCGAAACGTGATGTTTTTATTTTATGTTTATTTTTATTTTTTTGTAATTCGTTATCGCTACTTTCGCTACGAGCGCTATCATTGCGTACTCGAGAAGGCACACGACTATTCTATTGATAAAGGCGTCATCGAAATTTGTTGGTGATATAGGTGTACCAATTTTATGCTGTAGTTCACAACAGCACCGTAACGCCTTTGCGCTCTCATTTCATTTCATATATTTTGTCTCAATAAAATACATAAAAAAACAACAACCGGTTACAATACAACAAAATAAAAGCATAAAAAATCTGAAACAGGCCGAGACAGGATTCCTAAAAGTGAACCAAATCACTATCATGTAGGTCTCCTAATGCACTATTCCGATTACACATAAAATAATAATGAGCAATTGAAATAATACTTAAAATCTGTAAAATTTGCCTTAACAATAAATATATATATAGAAATTGTAAAACTTATTTAAAATATAATTTAAGATCGTTTAAAAATGCTTTAAGATTCAACTCTCGTGCGGTGGTCCTGGGGACCCGACCCCTAGGCACTCCTTTCGCGACGTAGCCCGGGGCCCCCACTCAAAAGGGCTGCGTTTATATAATTTAATCAACTGTCCAAAAAATATTTAAATGGTCCTCACAACCAAACTCGTCACCGCGTCATCGTCACCAAAATTTGATTATTTCTTCATTCGACTATGAAAAACTATTCTACAAAGTTTCATTTTCATCCATTTATAACTGGGACGTAAGTAATTTAAATGACTCTCAAATTTACACCCTAACCTGAATCGTTCCCCAACACATACTAATGTCCTCCTTGTGAATTTGTAAAACTTTCCCGAAAGTTACATTCAGATCAGTTAACCCGTTTATGAAGTATCTGGTCTGGGACGTTTTCCTCATATTCACACCCTACTCCGAATCGTCACAAAAATGAAATCATTTCGTTACTAGATTTTGACAAACTGTTATAGAAAGTTTCAGTTATACCCATTGATTTTTTTAAAAGAGATATGTAGGTCTGGGACCTCAAAAAGTTAAATGACCCTCAAATTTACACCCTAAACTGGATCGTCCCTAAAGCATAATAATTTCTTCCTTGTAACTTGGTTAAACCTTCCCGAAAGTTTCATTCAGATCAATTGACCCGTTTTGAAATATCTGGTGTAGACTGTTTGCCCTTAAACCACTTTAATTAGTCCACTAAATATTAGGAGGCACATCCTTGATATATTGTCTATTCTTCGAAAAAGCATGGAAAAGTTCCAAGAATGGGAAGTAACCAAAGTACAGGGTGAGAAACCCAGTGCAAAAGGATAAGAAAACGCAAGAAAAAAAATCATAAAAAAAACAATGACTTTTCCAGCTACTGCTGGGAAAAGCCAATAATAGTTTGATCTTGATTAAGCGCATTTTGCTGAAAGCCTCAATGCACTTTACATTAGAAATAAAAATCCAGAGTTAAGCAAATTATAAATTAAAAAGATGTGTTTGGGTAGTTGTTTGAATGTGTCGATGTTTTGTCAAATTTCGGTTGGTAATAGACCGAATTAGCGATCGACGCTGTTCAGGTATTAGTGGGTATTCGAGACAAAACAAACGCACGAAGATAGGCGATTTACACAGTAATTTAAGAAATAGCCCTTTACTAAAACGTCTCATACACGCTTTGTGTGAAAAAGTTGAGCGTGATTTAAATTAACAGAAACCATAGTTACATGTTTATGAATGTAACGTCATCTTTTCTCTACGATTGTGTATGCCAAATGTGAAATATAACGAGAATAAAACGTACTATTTTGGGAATAAAACATACATTGGTCGTGTCTGCCTGTGTTACAGCACGACGACGACAGTCGTGTATTCACTCACAGTGAATCATGGCGTCGGTCGATGAATGTGCTTGTTGCAAACTCATGAAATGTGTTGTACTTTTTTGAATTGAATAATGTTCCTAAATTCACACCAATAACTTTGGCAGACTGCACGGAGCTGAACGTTTACAATCAGGCCTCTCTCAATCATCACATCCAGCCATGTCGCGTTGTCGGGCAACAAGTGTAAGGGGCCGAGGCCTAGCCTGTAAAAACTCTACGTAGGCTTATTTAACTTAATTTTACATGAAAATCAAATCAAACGTCTTCTGATGGTTCTATGAACCTTCCTTAACCTACCAATGTACTAAAAAGTATCTTATCCGTGTACTTTGGTTTTTTTGCTTGTTTTCCTGGACCATACACAAACTCGCAACGTTATAGAATAGGACTTTTAGGCTTTGTTTAGAATTTTATACCCACTCGGCCAAATTGTGATGACGTCATCTTTCGTCGCTAATTCGGTCTATTAATTCCAAAGAGAAACCGAGGCACAGAGAAATGACCAACTTCCATAAAACTGAGTTGATGATACCGATGACGGTGATGATGACGATGACGGTGATAATGACGATGATGATGATTATGGTGATGATGATGATGACGATGATACTGATGTCGATGGCGATAACGTCGACGATGATGATGTTAATGATTTTGAGTGATGGAGACAGTAATACAGACTAAAGTGAAGTGAGTCCAATCTTGTCAGGGTGTAGGGATAAAAAGCCCCGAGCAAAATCAGCAGTTTGGGTTTGGTATAGACTAATTTGGGTTGCCATTTAGTCTTACAAAATATAAAGATAGTAATACCTCAGAGAGCAAAGCGATCCCCGATTGACGTCCGGGAATTTTGATGGTTTTGGTTGAAGCGTATAGGCATTTGAAGTTAATTTAATCTGGTTATCGTTGATTTGCATTGCATTGGAATTGTTGATTTTGTTGGGTCACCCCACCCTCTTACAAATCTGGACATCCCCACCACCCCTCGTCGGGCGCCATGACGAGTTCGTCGGGCTAAATTAATTTTCAAATCCATTCAAAGTTATTGTGATTGCTATTCCCTAATATTTTGGTCTAAAATTATAATTTTGGGATGCCCGTAAATAGTAGCTGGCAACTATAGAGCCACTATCCCTCCTCCTCAAGGGTAATTAGTCGGGATATTGAATACCTACCCCAGTCCTACCATGGTTGGCCTGATGTGAACAAATTATAGAAATAGGGCATCTGTCAATATGACATACCGGTATGTGATATGTGTATTTATTTATTTATTTATTTCAACAATATTTTACGAGGGTGGTCCATCCAGCCGGAGCTGATCATTAGGGACCCTCAATACATAACACAAGTAACAAAGGAAATGTAAATAGAAAAACAATGAAATTAAAATTTAAAAAAAAAAATAAATAAATAAATAAATAAATAAAAAATTTAAACAAATAAAAAATAAAATAACTAAGTAACAAAGGAAAAGAAATTATTACATATAAATATATTATAAAAATAAAAATTTAAATTAAAATCAAATTGGCTATAAAATAATTAAAAGCAGAATAAAAAGGCACAAAAAAGCAAAAAATAACGAAGTTAAAAATAAAATTTTAAAAAATAAAAAAAATTTATATATTTTTTTTTGTCTGGGGTATCTATAGATACCTCAACATAGCAGCTGGCAACCCAAAATAGCAAGTATTAGGGGCGGCTTCACCCGTATAGGGCTACCTTTGTGTGGTGAGGACAAAAAACCAACCCCCAAAATTGTATAAATAGTTAATTGTAATTTTATATTTATACCTCAAAACTTTTTCAAAATCAATATATTTATTTTAAAAAGTAATAGAATTAAGAAAAAGTGGTCCGATGCGGTTCGACGGCTCTGTCTAGATTCTTGGAAATGACACTTTCATGAACGTTAAAATAATTTTCGAAGTGTTTTCTCCAGAATACATGCCCCCGTGCTACGTGGACTGCTTATGTACACTCTGTGACAATGTTTAATGCCCTGCGACAATAGTGGCCAATTAATTATATCTTGGTTGATCACTGTTTACTGACTTGTCACCATTTTAATTATCCTAATGAGATTACTTTTTCAACAAAATATTGAGATTAGTATTCAGCAGTTATTTTTAGAAATTATTATATAAACGATAATAAAATAACCTAATAAGATGAGTGGTGCACTCTATAATCATATTCTTTTGAACTAATATGCTGTAGTCCATTTTTCTCGAGATGGAATTAAAAGAGGCGTTAAACTGACAACTATATTTTCAAGTATGTTCCATCAGTTTCTTTCCAGTTAAAGATCATCATTTTAGTTTTTGCTAGGTTTTCCAAACGCTTAGAATTTCTGGTAGACCTATAAGATTTACCATCGTTTGTATAATGTAGGCCTGTAGCTCTGTGTTTGAGGTGTTTGTGTGTGTCGGGGTGGGGATATACAGCTGCACTGCAGCGGTTCCAATAAGCTCAGCATTCTTGCCCCTCACTAAGGTTTATGCCCTAGAGTTATTTTATTTTTTTTAAAAACCCACCTTATTATGGCTGTATTTAACAGTATAATGTTGACAAATTTGTAAAAGAAATAAGACAACCTTTAGATTTCTGATTCTATATGCTGGCTCGTCTGAAAATCCTTCGATACTTATCACGTCGATGCCTTCTGCCACCATCATCTCCGCCAACTGCTCCATTTCCTAAAAGCAAAACAGATGTATGCAGTAGTTCAAATATTTGTTATCACTATTGTTGCATAGACCTACATGGACCACAATATATATATATATATATATATATATATATATATATATATATATATATATATATATATATATATATATATATCAATATGCATAAAGACCGATCTCCCTTACACCAACATTGTCTAAGATTACAGAACGACTTATCTCAAATGCTACTATTCCATACAAAAACCATATTGATCCCAGACAGTATGGTAATCAAAAGGGGAAATCAACCAACCACCCACTGCCTAATTGACGTATACCATCAGCTTGTGTCTAATGCCGAGAAGTCAGGCAGCATCAGCACATTGGTGCTGACAAATGCCGTAGCCAGGATTTTCAAACAGTGGGGGAAAATATCAGGGTGGACCCACTTTATGCGTAAATTCAAACAATGTGGATCCATTTTACACAAAATTTGAAAAATCTGGACCCATTTTCACAGATTTTACTCATTTTAAGCTAAATATGAGCAATCTGGACCCATTTTATGCATAAATTTACATAATTTGGACCCATTTTTTAGAATGTGGACCCATTCTTTTGTGGACCCATTAGAAAAATTATGTGGGACTGTCGACCCAACTATCCCAATAGCTGGCTACGGCATTGGTGCTGACCGACTTACCCAAACCATTTGACACGGTTGACCATTCTACCGCTTTTCATCATCTCTTAATAATGGGTGTGTCGCCGTTCATTTTGCAGTGGGTGGTTGATTTCATTTCCAATGCAACAAAGGGTTAGGTATAAAAAAAAAAAAACAATACTCTGGTTGGGTCACACTCTCGGGTGGTGTACCATAAAGTACAATTCTAGCCCCAATTATATTTATGTATAAATGCTGCCCTTCACAATGTCCCCCATACTGGGATTGATATTTGAAAATATGTTGACGATCTAACTATTGGTGAGAGTAAGCTTATTAGGAAAACTAGTAAAATCCAAGAGACTGTCAATAGCTTCCACCAATGGAGTATTAATAACAAATTAAAACTTAACCCCCAAATGCAAGGTTATGCAGGTTTATTTTGATAATAACCGTATTTCTCTCCCGATTATTGAAATCGGAAACCATCAGTTAGACATTGTTAACCAGGTTAAATTACTGGGCGTTCAAATTCAACAAGACTTAAATTAACAGTGAGTGGTTGTAGAGTATATAAATTACCTACGCCCTATCTTAGAATATGCATGCCCAGTATAGAATTCTGAGTTAACTAAAAGTCATATCCAGAACGTAGAGAGAATTCAGAAGAGGGTTCGCAAATTTATTCTTGGTAATGCATATACTTCTTACTTTGAATCTCTTGAAACGCTTTGTCTGAAAACACTTCAATGCCGAAGAACGCAACTGTGTAACGAATTTGCAAAAAAAGCAGCAAAATCTAACTATTACAAACATTGGTTCCCTGGTACCTGAAGTTCCCATATGACACTTAGGCATCAAAACAATTTTCACGAATACTGTGCTAAAACCAACCGTTCCTATTGCAGCCCTTACCTTATCTCACAAGACTTTTGAACAACCGAACTTTTTATAATTTGTAAGGCGAGACTTTATTCCTTGTGTTTCGCGAACAAAAAAAAAATTAATTTATTTATTCATTTTATTTATTTATTTATTTTTTATTTATTTATATATTTTTTTGTTGGGGGTCGTTGTGGGTGGGCAGGAAAAATAATTGGCAATAAATTCTTATTTAATTTCTCAGGGAATTCCAAGCGGGAAGGGGGATGGGAGAAGTTAGCAAACTAGGTGTAAAAGAAGTCTCGCCAAACCTTTTTAATATACTTGAAAGTGTTTATATTTTTAATGGTTTTTTTTTTTTATCTCTTTGATGTTTGATGTTTTAATAAATTTTTATCATTGTCACCTTTCGTAAAAATTCAGCCTGTGGCTGCAAATGTGTTTTTTTTATGTTTTTGCAATAAAGATACCAAGATATATATACAGTAATTGAAATCATATACAGAATTTAATGTTCAGACAAAAGCTGCAATTCGTAGGGGGAAAAATATATATTTGTTTTGCTACATAGGCCTATTAAATAGGCTCTAAAATCGATTAAATAAGCATTTTAAAACCCTTAACCTAAATTGTAATATTTTTATCGGGGACGTCGCCCTTGGACCACATGAGAGCGCCCACCAAAAGAGTACTGTAATGCAATATGCAATAAATAGGTAGGCCTTTAATAAATAAATAAATATAATTACTACTACAACATACCCCTCTAAAAAGATCAACATCTTGAAATATGATAGAGGCTCTTTTCCATCCCAGTTCGTTAAAAAGTGAAATCCTGGCAGGGTTGAATATGTTTGCATTCGGATATATTTGGATGGTGTATGGATAATCCCTCATAAATAAATCGTCCGTTTGGAACTGAGCAATTCCAACCTGGAACAAAGAATAAACATTAATGACTCGAAAAATAATCATAAACATGTAGAAAAACACTAGTAAAAATGTGCTTAACATATTAATCATAGTATTTTTTTTAAATGGTTATAATGATTATAAATATATAGTTGTGGTTATGATTATGTGTATGGTTATGGGTGCGTACTGTTTATGGAGTAATGGATGGTTATGAGTAATGGCGGCGGTTATAGTTATAATGGGTATGGGTATGATATTATGGTTATCGTTTTAGCTACGGTTATAGAAATTGATATTGCCAATGTCATTGCCATTGTCATGTTGTTGTTGTTGTTGTTGCTGTTGTTGTTGTTCATGTTTGTTATTATTATTTCTATTTTTATCGTTATTGACATTATGTATCGAATATAGCCTCAAAATGTTATAGAAAGTAAATTCCTACTTTCTATTCCTAAAACATTTTAATAATAATATTCCACATTATATGTCCTAAAATAACAAATGATCATGTTGATGATGGGGTGATGAGGAGGAGGACGACGAAATTATATTATTGTAATCATTAGCGGCAGTTGAAACTGATAAATCACTTGCTGTTTTTACATAGGGGTAAAATAACATCTTTTGACATACTTCTTTTTAAATTATAAAGTGACGACGTCACGGAGCCAGGCGACGCACATGCGTATAAAGCGTCCACACTATCAAATGTGACAACAAATGTGATATACCCATAGTTGGGTGTAATGACGTCGTCATATCCATATAATGGACACATCAGATAAATTTGTCACATAAAATTTGATAGTGTGTCCAGACTATCAATTTTTATTTGAAAATAACATGTGACATGTCTAAATATGGTCATGATGACATCACATCATAACCACATATAGGCACAACCTGTGCCTACAAATATGGGCATTTTCAACAGTTTTTTGTCAAAGAAATATATTGGATAATGGACTACGTTGGTTAGAATCAGCCATGCTACATGAAGCCGGGCACACACGCATGCGCATGCTTCATACGACCGTCGTCAGACTAATAATCCATCTGAAGATGAAAAATCTTACTTGTACTATATTATACTGTGAAACAACAACGTTGAGTGTCTCTCCAACAATAGAGTATGTCGGTCCCCAAGCCATCAGTATTGTATGTGGACTGTTGATGAACTCGTAAAATGTAAGCAGTGATTTGCCCGGATCTGCCTGAAATCAATTAACAACATACGGTAATGCAATAAAAGAGAAAGTTAGTTTAGGCCTATTCAATATTTGTGTAATATACTTATGCCTATATCGCCATGTTAAAGCAAAGATCCGGATGAAAAAGAAATGTTTTGACATGTTCTATGTTCTTGCTTGTTTGTTAATACTCGTTTCAAAACATTTTGTCATTAAAGATAAACAGTCAAGTTTAGTTGCTAAATATCATTCATGTGAAAATTAAAACGTGAAAAATATGTTTTTGTTCGCCAATTAACTGGCGCTCAATTCATATTACCTTTGTAAAACCATTTTGCCAACAAATTAATGATAACTTTTGTGACTATGAAACGAGCAATATCCTTTTCTTACAGAACACGAGCTACTGAATTCAATCATGAATCTATCATGTATAGGCCTACCTAAAAGCTGGTGCTTCCCTAATCCTTTACGTTTTCCCCACCCTCCCTAAAATGGAACTCTGAAATTCCACCGGGAACCTATGCAACCCGGGATGCGACCCCAACCCAAGCAGTGGCGGATCCAGGGATTCGAAATAGAGTAAGGCCAGATGGGGAGGACTAACAGTGCATTATTGACTAGAAAGTATTTTTACTTACAGTAATTGTAGTCTGAAGACGCCAATGACATTTAGGTTTTAATAATTTCTTTAAACAATGTTATTCTCATTCAAATAACATAAGTATAGAATCTGTCTCTTATACACATCTAGATGTGTATAAGAGACAGTATATATACATACTGGCTGCACTCCCTCCCCCTAGAATCCCTCACTACCCTGTTCACTTTTTCGCTGCTCAGTGGTACCATAGTCTCGTCCCTATGTTGTGTACGTATTTGCACTTGTTTGTCTTATACATTTGTAAAGTTTTCTTACCATTGTCCAGTTCCAAATCATACGAAGCTCATAATCATGAAGTATTTTGTCAAACGAATTTACGTGGTCAATTGCCGTAAGGACACTGGCCACCAAATGGTCATATGTAGGGTCCGGGAATGGCATAAATCCAGCAATATAAATAGGTGTCTTGGTAGTATCGTTCTGCGATAGTGTTCCATACGTTAAACAAGAGAAGATGAGAATGTATAAACAACTGACGACTGACCGAGATTTAATATACATTGTTCTGAAATATTATAGAGATCGAGAATCCGACATTAAACATTCAATTAACAGGCCTACATAAACACGTCATCCGAAAAAAACCCACCAATTTCGCCAGCTAATACTTTGCGAAGATTGAACAATCAACTAAATACCGACTTCGATTGAAATTCAACTTGAGCTTAAATTAAGTGCTTACAACTCGTCATTCGCTGAGAATTAATCCGTACAATCCGTCTCCACCCAACAGTGCACTCATTTGAAACTCATCTACGCACACGTCATTTTTTCACGTTTGCAACTGAAGCTCGAATCACATGACCGAGTAGGATGAACTTCCAGGCAGCACAGCTAAATAGAACTAATCATTCACCGATTGAGAAAATAGCAAAACGATCTATTAACGTTAAGGATATTCGTTCATCCAATATAATAGAAAGTCAATGTGTAATATTCGCACTTATAACGCGTTACGACTTCTGTTCTTGATTAAGTGCCAGTGGAAATTGACCTATCTACCACATGCTCATTTAGGCCTACTAATTCGCGAGATTGCGTAATTCAATGAGCTCGATGGAGTTCGACTCTCATACTTCAGTCACTTATTTGTGTTGAGGAGGCATTATCCACATTTCTACCCTTGATGATGATTATTAATGGACCCCTCGTATGTTCGAATGCGATGCACTAGTAACTAGCTACAATAATTTGAACGCGGAGCTTTAATTCTCGGGCCACCTACCACATCAAGCTCAATTACTAATTCGCGAGATTGCGTACTTCAGTATGGGCGCAATTCGGTTCGTCCTTGAGGAAGACACATTATCCACATTTCTACCCTAGAGAGTGCATAATTATTTGAATGTCCCTCGTAGGTTCGAATGCCATGCACTGATAATAGCTACAATAATTTGGACTCTCGGAGCTTGAACCGCGATTATTCGCCTCAAATAACAAGGACTAACAGTGCATTATTGACTAGAAAGTATTTTTACTTATAGTAATTGTAGTCTGAAGACGCCACATGACATTTAGGTTTTAATAATTTCTTTAAACAATGTTATTCTCATTCAAATGACATAAGTATACAATGTTTCTCTGATAATCCAGCAAATTTTAAGAAATCTGGTAAAATGATTACACTTGAGCCTACCATTTATAACCCTCTCCTCCAATCTGAAATGGATCGTATTCAAAATATTACGCATCCCAAACTCTTTGCTTTATAAAACGTTTATGCAATCGCCATCCGTTTTCTTTAGTTTTATTTAACTCTCTCCAATACGTCCAATACTCGAATATTCCTTGGTAGTCTTGAATCCACATCTTCAAACTAACATTTCCCAAATTGAATCATTCCAGAAGCACTTTACTCGATTTTTCTAAACTTTGCTAGATAACCCAACAACCCTCACTATGTTGAATATAAAGACAGGCTAATTACCTTCAACTAAAATAATTAGAACAAAGAAGAATTTTTCTTTGCTTTATTTTCTTAAACAAAATTATTCATTTTATTATTAAATTGATTCACTTAAAGTATATGCCATTTAATACACGTCGACCTCGTCCGACTCTTCACCTCCCCCTGCCCGATGCAATGCATTGCACTCCACTATTCACTCTTTCATCAGACTTCCAATTGCCCCACGCTTTATTCTCCTCAGTCTCTTCTTCATTTACGCCGATCTTACGGCATTCTATAGTGCATTAAGATAGGCAGAGAAGGTTAGGGTAAAGCCACATCGACCAATCAGCGTGTTGGGATTTGCATAATTCGGCGTAGACATGCCACTACGTCTTTTAAAACTACTTTCGACCACCTGCGTTAAGCCATCTGCATCTTTGATTATATATTTGCGTATTCATTTATTTATTCTTTTTTACATATTTACTTATCTATCTTTTATTAAATAAGTTTCTCATTTTTATTTATTTTTGTTGATGGTCATTACAGTATTAAATATAACGTTGGCTAGTATTACCAATTACTAGTACTATTGATTTCGTGCTATTTATTATTTAATTGTTATGTTATTCTGATAGGTACTTTGCAGGCGCGGATCCAGGATTTTCCCTGACCTTCGCACAGATGGGGTCGTCCTTGCAGCGGTGGATCTAGAAATTCGAAATAGAGGGTGCCCCGAGAAGGACCTTCAGATCATAGTTGCTAGAGTTAGCAGAATTCTGCATTTTAGCAGAATTTTGACCGTTTTAGCATTTAGAATTATTCTTAGCAGAAATCGACTTATTCTAACAGAATTTTAGCAGAATTCTGATGAAATTACCCATTACCCAACTTTCGCCCCCCCCCCTCCTTTCGGCCCACCCTTTTGGACATCTCTGGATCCGCCCCTAAGCAGAATGTCATTTTTTGCGCTGGTCACACTCCTTCAGATATAGACACCTTAGCCCCTCCATGGTTGGGACAGAGGCAAGAAAAACTCAGATTACGTTGGAAATGGCACTCTCAGGATTTGAATATAATTTTAAGTTTTTTCTCCATTCTTTAAACATAATTTTGAAATATTTACGGGGACCCGGGCCGACTGGGTTCCCCCTGAATCCGTCATTGTATGGGGAAGCGCTGGGGTGGATGCAGGATTTGGAGGTAGGGGATGCATGAATCCACACGACCTCAGCCACCATGGTTGCAGGGGCGGATCCAGACATTTTGACGGGTGGGCCCATTGCCAATATGTAGTCCTCGCCCACCTTAGCCCCATGATGGTTGGGGCTAAGGTGAACAAATTTTAAGAATAGGCACCTCTAGAAGCTCGCAAATGGCACTCTCAGACGGTGAAAAGAGGCTGACGTAGGACTAGCCGGTGTGGCTAGTCCTATTCGGTACTATGGCCCACATTCAGTAGCATCCCATAAGTTAAGCAATGTTTCCATACAAATCAGTAAAGGGCGCTATCTGTGCCTCTTTTTGTAGTCCACCGGAAATACGGATTTGACTGGACAAAATTGCAACATTATATGTAAAACAACATACTAGAAGTTTACCAAAATAGGACGTACATAAAGGTGTTTTTTATAACCAAAAGTTCAGCACTATTTGAAAGTAGACTTTTACACGGTACGTACTGCGGTTTTCAAACTTTTCTTGATTATGATTGGTCAACATTTAGGTCAACGTAGGTCATATCTGTTTGTTGCCGGAAGAGTGAGACCCGCGTGCGAGCTTCGCGATCGCGAGGTTTGGTGTGCGAATCAGATATATTTCTTCCGGTTTACAGGAATTACAGAGCTATAAATATTGGAAATTAATTGGAATCATGTGTCACTTTCCCCGCATCGCAACGTTTTCTCGGCGGCCAACGGACGCATGAACGTATTATAGAAAATCTTAGTAACGTCGGCCTGGGGCTATTTTCAATGTAATCTCATCAGTATCTAAGTGTAGAATGGAACCAGAAATGCATCGACCTACTGATGTAGAACTACTACTTTATTTATTGTCGAGTACCGTTTTTTTTTTTGTTGTTTTTTTTTCATTGTACAGTATCGCAAAAACTAGAGCATGATCTCTTATTAACGATTTTCGGCAAACATAGAGATCTAATTAATACAGTACATGTGATGTAAAATTAATCATCATTGATCGTATGTTTCTTTGTTGTTTATGTACTTTTGTTGCCATGAGAAAAACAAATTTCATATTTTAATTTGACAATAAAGCTATCTTGTATCTTGTATCTAATATGAATCGCTGCGATAGAAATATAACAACATAATTGTCTTCGATTTATCTACTTTACCTACTTCATGAGCCGAAAACCAATTTATCTTTACACTTTTTATCATACTTGTATAATAGAGGCACGCACTCGAGTCGTGTATTACAGTTAATTCAGATGTTTGTGGACAGAAAACACCGGTATCTTGTTATAAAATAAGATGTTATCTGCCTGTAAAGTGGTCTTTGGTCTTATTGGAACTCGATAATCTATTTGAGCCATTTTACTGAGAAAATGTGTTGATTGTTGATAACTGATTTTATTTATTTGGGGTGGGGGGGGGGATTGTTAATGTTACCATACATTAAACTTTATTATTTATTGTTCTCTCAATAAGCCAATTCGTAGCTAGAGTTGTGCATGCTTGTATCAAGGATTGACCTCGATTGACCTTGGGTATGAGCATGCGCAGTTCTAAATATGAATTGACTTATTACAGTAGGCCTTTTCAAATAGTATTACGTGTTGGGTAGCAATATGAAACTGTTCTAATTGATATATACATGTTATTCATTATTACCAATGCTATAAATAGGTTACAAAAGAAATACAGAAGACAAAAGTACTTTACAGTGCTATTGTACTTGTAGATATTGATTCTACTCTTATTAAATAACATTTGTTCTTCCCTCCTCATCCTCAGTAACTCAAAGGACATTTATATTCTTCAAATATTTGCGTTTATTACATTTGCCTTTGAAATTTGTTAAATGACAAATTTCATAACATGAAGTTGTAAAATTGTTATATGGTGTACAATGTCCTCATCTCATGTACTTCGTATTCCTTATGTTGTTCAAACGTAGTTTACATCTTTCTATACTTTCTTATATTCATGGTTTTAAAAATATTACAATTTTCTTGCTCAATTCTAAAGCCTTTGACATCTGGCATACTTATTACCACTCATCATTATTACAACGTTACACATTATTAATAACTCCTCACTACAATAACATCCCATAAACTCAGTATCATTGAGACTCCACTGTAATCTTCTTCACTGGTGTTAAGTTAAATAAATCTATAGGTTCCAAAAAATGATTTACGTTTACAATGTGTATGATGTATAAGCAGAATATTTGCAATCAGTAACGCCTCAGATGTTTTTTAAACCTTTCAAAGTGATAGTCATCTGTTGCTTTCTCAGATAGTGAACGCTTTTGTGGCTTTGTCTCAGTTTCTGAAGAAAGAAAATGAAGATAAATAATGTGATTTATCATTGACATTACAAATGCCTGCACTTAATCATTGATAATCTGAAATGAACAGATTTTTGAAAGAGCATGTTATGCTCCAATGCAAATATGATCCTCCTCAATCGAATGATGATAATGTATGGACTCTGTCCTCTGTTGTTAAAAATATCAAAGGAGGTGGGGGTCTGCTGAAGATCGTTTGCTAAAACGAGGACAGATGTATGTAATATAAACTGTATACAGCACCATCATTCACTTGAGAAAGATTTTTGAGTATTTGATAAAGAGAGGAAATTTCTGGCCACTTAGAGGTGCCACGGATATAACATTTAGTACATGGTTGTTATGTAATACAGTACTGGGTGCTTCACTTTACACACTCCTGTCTGGAACAGTCTACACAATATTGTAACTAACCTGATTGTTTCGATGCATTTGCATCACCAACGACGACTGGTTTGGGTTTAGCAGGTTCCTCTTTACGTTGCTGTTGCTGCTGCTGCTGCTGCTGCCTTCTAGATCCCCCAGAATCATCATATAAAACTAAAAAAAAACCATACTACCAATGAATAAACAATTCTATCTGGTTTTAACATAAATATCAATTTTTCTCTCAATTGACTAAATTTAGGCCTACTTACTGTTTGTTGATATCTTACACATAAATATCCATTTTGCTTTATAATACACACTATTGAGTTTAGTTTATCAGATTTAAGGCCTGTTTATACTTCAATGATAACAATAAAAAAAGCTAAAAAGCAATTGTTCATATAGGAGATTAAAGAAATAAGAGAAGTTTTTACAATTTGATAACGATTTATCAGTTATCCGATAACAACATATATAAATCAAATCAGATGACGTCATAATCATGAAAAAACTTTAAAATCGTAGTAGTATCAACGATTTTATGATTTTTCCATGATTATGACACCATCTGATTTGATTTGTTAAAATATTTTGTTATCGTATACACAATAAATTGTTACCAAATCGTCCTAGTGTAAAAATTTCTCTTATTTCTTTTGTTTTCTATATATATGAACAATCGCTTTTTAGCTTTTTTATCGTTATCGTTGAAGTATAAACAGGCCTTAACAGATCATATAACACAAGAAAAGCATATACAATACTGGGAGAATATTAATATTTTAAATAAAGATCAGGGAATCTTAAAAAGATGAAAATTAATAAGGACGGAGAAGAAACAACAGTGAGTATTTGTCATATACTACCATATTTGAGACATTTAGTTTGCATCTAGACACTTTGTAATTTAAATTTCATTCATTCATTTTCATTTATTGTAATTTTCATATTATAAATTACTCTTGCTTTAAGACACAACTACACAATAAACAACAAAAAGTACTAAGGTTATATCACATCAGCATTATTGAAAAACAAAGATACAATATAATTAAAATGGAAATGCCGGATGTTATGAATATTATGAGGTTTTGTAGTTTAATGTAATAATGGTACTTGTTACTGTTCATTACACCATAGCAAAAATGCATATTGCATTACAAATTCAAAAGACTTAATGTCTTTACAAGAATACATAAGTGATGGCCTTCATTATACCTTGTAACATGATAATGATTGTAGTTGGTGGTGAACATGCTAAGAAAGCTATATATATATATATATATATTGATCAATCAATCTATTAAACTGGTACTTAACAACTTAACAAAAATCGAGTGCGAACAAAAAACTTACAGCGTGCATGCTGTACGTAATTAACAGCCATATTTGCTGGTACAAATGACGTGTTATTTTTCTTCTTGGATCTTTGTTCTTTCATGTGTTTCTGCTTAGCCTCTTCTGTCAACTCAATATTTTTAATCTTTGCACTGTAGAAAACAAAAAATTATCATATAGTGATTACTCTGCACAATGAAAATAATTTTTTGTTCATCATGCAATTAAAAAAAAAACCTATTTTACTTTCCTCTATATTCGATATATGAATTGTTATCGAGACCTGTATGTTTTGTGGCTTGTGTGCTAAAAAAAAAAGTTCTAAAACTGTTTATTATGACGCTGTAAAGAATATTATATTGCTATGCCCAGCCTAGCACACGCGGCAAGCTTAAGAAATCCTGCTACATCGTTGGTGATCACACATACAAGAAAGGCCTTGTATGTGTTTTTTTTGTTGTAGCGTATGGGGCACACTGAGGCGCAACTTAAAAAAGGGCTGTGAACGTTTGCTGGAAATCACCTCTAGTTTATGTGTACAAAATTTTCTGCTATGTCCGTTCAAAACTGGCGCCAAATCAATCAGCCAAGTGTTTTTAGAGCTTCTCATTGGAGATAATAATAATAAATATAATTGGTCTCTAATAATAATAATAAAAATAACTGGCCCCAACGGCCACCCATACTAAAGAATCTATTAATTGATCAATCAGCAGGGTACCCCTAGAGCTCCTTGTCGGAGCTAGTAAAAAGTATTTGAGCGAGTTACTGTGTGTTTTTGAAGGGGAGCAGAGCAAAGTGAGTTGGGGCGGTAGTGGTGGTGGTTCAAGTAAATTAGGAACATATTTTGAGAGATTTAATTTATAAAAACTGGGGTGGTGGGTGGAGATATGCTCTCTACTCAGTGCTCTTGTTGTTGCTGTTGTTATTGTTATTATTATTACAGTATTAGGGAAAACCTAGACAGCTTTCTTTAAATCTATACTTACTCTACCCCTAAATCAACCTCTGGTATCCCTGAAAGCATCTGATTGGACAGCATCTCTTCTGTTCGATTTTTCTGAGCCACTTGTAAATGCTCTGGCAGCTCATACAGTTTATCTTCAGCACTTTTGTACCTAATAATATAACAATAGCAATAATAGTAGTAACTGCAAAATAAATTTAAACTTTTTATATTACCATGTAATTTTACCATGTAATATACTGTAATGAAATGACCACTGTTCAAAAGGTTATAAATTATTCTAATCTGAAAATGAAAATCTTATGGTATCAATGGTTAATTTATAACGAATTTGTCACTAATATAAACTTGTCACAAGAATTTGTCACTTACTTTACACCATCATCCTGCTTATCCTTGCCAAGCCCCTTCTTTAATGCCATTTGTTCATCTATGTACTTCATCCTAAAAAGAAAATTTTGTAGTAGTATAAACCATTGTATAAATTATATCATTCTTATCTATATTTCAGTCTATTCTGGTTTTCATTGACATTATTTTCACCAGCAGTCTTTCCTCTTTCTTAAGAATATCTTGTACATAATAACATATGTCTTAGTCACTGAATGATAAAAACCTATTCCTTTTTAAGATAATCAATTATTATATTTTGAGAAATGATAAGTGAATTTAGATAAGTTTGTTATAATGATTGTTAGTAGCTATTTCTTCCATGTACTTAAAATTCACTTTTTGTTTTGTTTGATCAAATTCAGCGTTTTTCCATCAGAATATTGGTAACAGAAGTGAAGTGTTTGGTGGGTTCCTGGTGTTCTATGGATATACAGTAACTTATACAGGTGATTCCCGGCATGCTTTGCAAGGATATTGTTGTTATTTATATTGTGTACATAAGTATGCATCGGTGTGCATGTAGGTGTAGTGTGTGTCCCAGTGTGTGTGTCTATTCAGCACTCACATATCAGCATGTTCATCTCCTTTATTCGTTTCTGCAGCAAATGTGCTGCTCATGTTAGAAACATCACGGTCACCTTTGTCTTCATCTGATCTGAGAGAGAAAATAAACAATATTTTTCAACAGGGATGTATTCAGGACTGCCATTTTTCTGTGGGGGGGGGGGGGTTGTGTGCATGAATGTCCAAACACAGACTAACTGGTTCATTTCGGTTTCAGTGAAATATTTTTCAATGTGAACCTTTTCAAATTTGTGAGTGGGTGGGGTTGCAGATTTACAGAATATTCCACCAGTGAGTGGAGTAAGGTTTCTTTAGATATTATTCCAATGATTGGGGTAGAAATGTGAAAAAGCAATACTGATTAGTAATAATATCATTATTATTACCATTATTATTACTGTTGTCAATAAATATTTTTATTATTTATATTTTAAATGATGGCAAGGGTGAATTACTGAAGCAATCTTATTGGTAATACCTGTCCCTGTTCCTATCTTTGATTTCCTGGTAGCTCACCAATCCACCTGTTTTTAACTTGAATGGATCATCCTAATGTATAAACAAATTTTTATACACAAAACATGTAAGACATAGGAACAAGTGCCAAATCATAGAAGTAATTTTTTTCCCTACCTGACGTCTGACATGTTACCGTCCCATAACTCAGTATGTTCCCAAATACTTGCAAAAAAAAATTTGCAAGTGATTTGTGTGATATTTTCCTGATGCAAACTCGCGTTGAAAAGTGCCAAATCAATATACAAAATCACTTTACGATCAAACATAAAAAAGAACGAAATTTTTTTATAGTTGTATAAATTACCCTACTTAACACCTTCCTTGTTTGAGTAAGGTGGGAGCTCTACTTGGCTAGGCCCGGAAGGCCCATAGTCAGCCACAGTACAGCTCCAGTACTGTACTAGCATAATAGATACATTTCCCCTATTATTCCGCCTTATTAAGGATTATTTGAGGAACAAAGCAATCAAATTAAAAAAGTTCAGAGAGTGTCTGTATACTTACATTACTAACTTCTTGTTCCTTGGAAAGTTTCTTCCCTGTTGCTAATGCTGCAGAGCTGCAGAATAAAACTGTTAGATGTTCACAAACAGATATTGCAGACATAGTCACAGCTAAGCAAATATTAGCATTTATTATTTTATATGCAATTTTGTTTTCTAATCTAATTATAACAATTATTCTTAATTGGTACTCATTGAAATCAGAAATTCAGGCGGGGACCCGCGGCAGCTGCAGAGCCACCCAACTACAACACATAATGGGCACATATGAATACAAACATTGTCCTTAAACTCGTCTACTGTAACTCTTAATTGAGGGTTATATGAGGGTTATTCAAAGAGCCAAGCGATCATACTCCAATTAAAACCCAACACTAGCTGAGTTTGAACTGGGGTCAGCAGAAGAAGCAAGAGCAATACCTGCTTAGCTTTAACCTAATAATAATATTACAACAATGAATGTCAGTCACAAGCTCACTGGATATTGAGGGCAGCATTCAATTTACATTGAGGGCAGCATTCATAGTTGTTGTTATTATAGTCCATAATTCTTCAATTATATTTTCACTGTTTACTAATGTCACCACCCCTTTTTCTACCTTCCCCCAGTTCTTTTATATTCAAAAATCTATATCTCATTGAACCTTTCCCGAGTTTTTAGTCAAATATGCTTTTTGTGTCTTAGAAAATCAGTTGTACAACAACATTACAAAATATTGTTTTCCTCCAGAGCCTGACTTTAAGTTAAGTAGTTAAAAAATAGTTCCTTTATAAAAACTAAATGCTGATTTTAAATGGAGTGTGTCTTTTAGTAAGACCACTTATAAACTATGAATTTAGAGAAATGTATTCAGGACACAAATATTGTATGTACAGTAGGTGTTACAGTACACTGACTCTCATTATTCTCATGTAAAAAACATGGTTTCACTTACCTTACACCATATGGTCTATCTCTAAACTTCTGAGCCTCCTTTGCTTCCTCAAGAATAGCCCTACAATTTATGTAAAATTTAAAGAAAAAAAAATATACACAATACAGTACAGACCATTATTTAATAAAGTAATTGTTGTTTACAAATTCAACATTCTAGATATGTAAACCTATTGTACTGTAGTTGTGTCTCTTGTAGTAGTTAAGCTGACTAGGCAGAACAGCCAAACACTGAAGTTTGGTTTTTAATCATCAATAAATGTGACCGGCTCTGGCAAAACCCTGTTTGTAGGAAAAATTCAAAAATTGAGTTTTTGGTATTTTTAAATTCTGCATGATGGAAATTGGTTGGGTATTACCAAAGTTATGAATATTTATTTCATTCGGTATCAGCCATATAGGTTTTGAGAAAACAGCTTCCAAAGATTCCAAAATCAACAGTTTTTTATTTGTATTTTTAAAATATTTTTAATAAAATTTCCAGTTAGATTTTGTGGTTGATATTTTATAGAAATTTAATATACTGTATACTGTATTGGTGAGTCGAATGGCCGAGCGGTTAGCAGGGACGCCGCAAGATATAGCCATAATATCGGCGCTGGTTCGAATGGCCTGCTCGCCTATGGTTCTGGTGGTAGAACAAGTCTTCTCGGATAAGGACTATAAACCGTAGGCCCAGTGTATACAATGGTTCGTGTGCACTATAAAGAACCCAGTACATCCTTCGAGACGAGTAGGGGGTTACCCCGGTGTACTGGAACAGACAGCCCCTGTGGTGGTGGACGACGAGTGTTGCTGGTACCGGGTTACCGGGTAGCACAGACACGAAGGGACCCTTAGGGGCGAAGAAAGTCATTGGTCGAGTTCCTAGTCCACATTTCAAGCACCCTGAGCATCTTACATTAGATGGATATGTGCGCTATATAAAACTACACTATTATTATTATTATTATCTTCTTTTATAAAATGCAAAAACATGAAAATTTTCAAAACTCTGATTCTCAAACATTTTGTGTTTGTGGGAAATTAGACATTGTGTCAAACGGAGGGTTTGCACGAGCCAGTCACAAATAATAGTTTTGTATCATACATTTATGACAAAAAATATTTAAATTAACAGTAATGAGAACTGTCAATTCTGCAATCAATGGGTTTGGAATTCCTGGGTGTTGGTTTGTGTTTAAACACCAATGGTACACCATTTTCATCAGCTTTAAATACATCGTTTTGAAGCTAGCCTAGGGTTGGGTGGAGCCAAAACCAGCATCAATTTAACAAAAAATATTAATATTCCCCACATTACTATAAAACAATTGGTAGTTAAAAAGTACGAACAATTGCTGAAGATTGGCCAAGGGACATTTGGGTGAGTACGATATCATCACAGTGTTCAATGGTTCAATGAATGTCAAGGAATTCGATCCAACTCGGCCACAAGTCAACTCGGTCACAAGTCAACTCGGCCACAAATCAACTCGGCCACAAAAAGTTCGGCTGCAGTCAACTCGGCCACAATAATATTGCTGTTATTATTGGTGTCATTGTTATTATTATTGTTGTTTTTATTACCGTTAGTTAGTTTTAATATTAATTATTAGTCTTACAGTAGCATAACATTATGTTTGTTTAAATTTTTGCTGATATTATTATTGTTACCATATAAATAATACAAAATTCTCGATTTTTTTTATTCATATTATTATTATTATATATTAGTCTTAGTATTATTATTTTAATAATAGTAATTATAAAAATATTGTTATTGGTGTTTTATTGGTATTTTTCTCATATTATTATTATTGTTGTTTTTGTTGTTGGTGTTGTTGTTGTCACCTTTATTATCGATATTATTACCCTATTATTACTAAGTAGGCCTAGTATTATAAGTATCATAATTATTATTATTACTAATTAGTATATTACTATTATTATAAAAATAAACATTATCTTTAATTTATTATTGCTGTTATTATTGCTATTATCACCTTCAATGTTATTATCACTAATTAGTATTATTAAAATAGATATTTAAATATCGTTATTATTACCATATAATTACTATTAGTATTGTTAAAATAAATATTACTATTAATATTGTTGTTGTTATCACCTTTATTGTCGTTATTATGACTAATTAGTATTATTAAAGTAAATATTTGAAAAGGACCGACATGTCACTGGTTATTCACATCATTGGATGCATCCTTGTCACTGACGGGTTTCAAACAAAGCCCCCAATGGTCGAACAAATATGAAGGACTGAAATCTGTCACTCAACAATACCAATTGTTCCTATTGTGGATAATTGATACCAGATGCTGCACCCCACCTAATTTTAACGTAGGCCTAATTATTGGGCGTGGTTCTGAAGAAAATAGTATCGAAATGCACGCCATCGTGCATTCATTTGATTTTAGTCGGATTCAAAATAAATTTTTAACATTTAAAAAAAATCATAATGTGGTTTTTCTATTTCAATTTTTTATGATTAGTTCTACAGTATGTACTCATTTTTTATGTCAAGTGTTTTAACGTCAACAAAAGTAAACATTAATATACAGATTATTAAGATTGCTTAAAAATTAAATTGTTAATGTTACAATTGTCAGATTTTATTCCATTCTGTAAGTGGCGGGTTTTCTCTGTTGAATAAGAGTACAGTGTGAAGAAATGTATACAACGATCTCACGAGGATGTGACAATGATCAGAATTTTACTAAAATATACTGTGTACTTCATTTTAATCATATTGAAGAAAAAGGATGCAGAAACTGTAATATTTACATTTCATTTTAATTATAAATAACTTGTGGCCGAGTTGACTTGTGGCCGAGTTAACTTGTGGCGGAGTTGACTTGTGGCCGAGTTGACTGCAGCCAAACTTTTTGTGGCCGAGTTGATTTGTGGCCGAGTTGACTTGTGGCCGAGTTGAATTGTGGCCTAGTTGACCTGCTTCCATGTCAAGTTGCCTTCCGTTACGATAATGCACTTGTCAATTGTAGTCAGCCCACGAAATTAGGAAAAAATTAGGTCGCCAAAAATTTGCCGACCTTACATTCTTCGCGGTCGGCAGCCTTGGCAAATTTTTACTACCTAGGCCTATATAGCATAAACTACGATTTTCCCGAACGCTTGATCTTACATCGTCATCTACAGATTGTGATTTTGTTAATTTCTCTATTAAATCAGTATATTGCTGGTGAAAGAATGGCCGTACTTTAATTTAATAGTAGTATAATACATATGTTTTACATAAGAAAATTTTAGTGTTCGTTTTATCGTTATCTTTGGCATGGGAAGTATCACTTTCGTAAAAAAGCTACAATCGTATCATCGTCCATGCGCATGCCCAGAATGATCTATCAGGGATTTTCCACACATTCATTTCATTTCATTTATTTATGCGACCAATACACATTTACAAAAGGTACAGTACAACAAAAATTATGGTCAGGGGCAGCTTAAGCACAATTTTACTATAACTCATTAAGAGTCAGTCAGCTGCCCCATTAATAAATATAAACATAAAAGGCATTTAAATACAATACAATAAATAGCAGAAATAGGCCTATCGCATAATTTAAAAAAAAAAAAAAAAAATTAAATTTGCTCTTACTTATTATGTAATAACTGATATATAATTTATATAAGGAGAAAATTACCGAAATTATCTTATTACAGATAAGTTTTAGAAAAAAAAAAAAAAAAAAAAGGTTCATATAAACTTAATGGTATACTAATTAAATAAATTCAACAGTGTAGATACAATAAATAATAAATATATAAAGTCAGTAAAAAGAATTTAGAAATCTTTGTCAGAAAAATAGTTATGAATGTCCATGAGAGAGTTGGTAAGAGATTTTAGAGTTCCTCACATCAGCAGGTAGTTTGGTCCACACACGAGGAAATAGATTTACAGGTGAATTTCTATACGCAATGGTCCTAGAAAATTGATGTACAAAGGTTACATTGTCTGTGTGTCTGAAGTTTACATGGATATGACAGTCAATTTTTGATTGAGTTTAAACGGACGGTAGGTTTAGGCCTACAATATGTTGAATTTTGTTGTTTTTAGATAATAAACAACATTTTAAATATGATAATACTGTAAAATGAAGACAAATAAAGATTTAGACAGCATTGCTGTCCGGTAGCAATTCTGGCTCGGCAATATGGTCGGCAATTGCCGATTGCCGACGTGAAATTCGTGGGCTGTGGCATTTAGTCAACATTGTCTGTTTTGGTAATTAAAAAATTGCCTACCGATACTTTAGGTCTACCATCATGGTTCCATTTTTTATAGATCACGGTATAAATTACATAATAAAAATTGAACCTCCAACCTCACAACGCTGAGGACCGAGGTGGCGGCGCGTGTGAGTAGGCCTAGTGAGTTGCACCAAAAATATGCCAGTATGTGAGCCAAGGCAAGGAAACGTGTTCTACTATTGTAATGTATTCATTTTCTTATTTAGGCCTAATTTCTGTTTTGATATTGAATAATCAAATCAATCAATTATTTTCTTTTTCTATGACCAATCTGTCAATCTGTCTCCTTTTTGTTCGCACTTTTCCAAACTTCCATGCTGCATAGTGATACGCATGCGTAGTGCTTCCATCAAGAAAGCTTATCTACTTGGCCTAGCTCTCATGTGCTTCTCCGATTTATATGTAGACTAGATTTTTATACCTCCTTGCTTCTTGTCATTCAATCATTTATTAGCGGGGCATTTTACCGGGACTACAGCGGTAAGTGGCGGGGACTTAGCCAGGGGATACGTTAAAACGATACCCCGCACTGCCGGAAGCTGGCAGGGACTTTTACATGCATGTAACAATTTTGAAAATTACATCCCCGCTAGGCACGGGTCCGGGGGGGCCGGGACTACAATTGACAAGTGCATAAGATATTGGTCAGACCATAGAGAAAGAAAATATAAGAGTTTCCTGTCTATTGACTTCCATGCTATTTAACCTAAAATATATTACTTTTTTTGTAACAAACATTAATTCGTATTCATATATTTTTAGTGAAGTTTTCAAGGCACGACACAGAAAGTCGGGAAAAATTGTAGCCCTCAAAAAAGTTTTAATGGCCAATGAAAAAGAAGGGGTAAGGAAACATAATAAAATAATCATTTATGACATCTGCTGACAGTAGGCCTACATAAAAAAAACCTCAGAATCCTACTAAATAATAACAACACCGATCATTATTTAAATTCTCCTGTAGAATATGCAAATATGGTGTGACTATAGAATAATACTTAAAGCCAGGTTCCGGAGCAAAAAAAAAAAAGAAGTATGTTTTAGAGTTAGAAAATCTAAGACCTTGAACGGAGGTTTTACAATACAGCTGTAAATTTTACGTCATAAAGTTGGAATTTATGATAATATGTTTATCTTTGTTTTTTAACAGTTTCCAATCACAGCTTTAAGAGAGATCAAGATTCTTCAGCAGTTACGCCATGAAAATATTACACATTTGATTGAAATATGCAGAGCAAAAGGTTTGTTGCACTATAGTTAGATAAGACAGGATAATTCTGTCAAATACAGTTAGGGCGAGACTTATTTTATACCTTGTTCAGTAAACCGCCGCCTGCCAATAATAAGATGATTTCAAATAAAAAAAAGATTTTATTTTTGGCCAATTAACGCACTCGACACCACAAAAAAAAAAAAAAGGAAATTTCAGAAAAAACCTTCTGCTGCCTTAAAATCCCCAAAACAAGATATGTAGGCCTATGTATATTTCTTCCTAATTATATTTAAAGCATTGAACCATGGACCTATTAATAAGATATTATATATATATTTATATATATCAGACCTATTAAAAGGTCCATGATTTAACCATCCTATTACTACACTGTTTACTTTCACCAATAACATTTTATTTTAATTTTCTTCACCTGGATGATTTTGGCAAAACTGAATAATGGGTGGGCCATAATTCCTCTCTGAATAAGAAAACAACATTTTATTTTGATTTTTTTCCACCCTCCTGTGACAATCTTTAATAAAATAAGTTAGAGAAAGAAGTTATAAAAAAAAGTGTTGCCGTACATAACAATTCTAATATTAAGTATTTTTACTTTCCATATTTTAATCAGGTACTCCAAATGACCATTTCATCACTAGTATTTACCTCGTATTTGAGTTTTGTGAGCATGACTTAGCTGGGTTGCTTAGCAACCAGCAGGTGAAGTTTTCATTGGCAGAAATCAAGGAAGTAATGAAACAACTATTGAATGGTATGTACTATATCCACAGTAATAAAATTCTACATCGTGATATGAAAACTGCCAACATTTTGATCACAAAGAGTGGAACATTGAAGTTGGCAGATTTTGGACTTGCCAGACCATTCAGCCTTCCTAAACCACACCAGCCAAACAGGTATACTAATCGAGTTGTAACACTTTGGTATCGACCACCAGAACTATTACTGGGAGAGAGGAATTATGGCCCACCCATTGACATGTGGGGTGCTGGGTGTATCATGGCCGAAATGTGGACACGTACCCCAATAATGCAAGGCAGTACAGAACAACATCAGCTGAATCTCATCTCGAACTTGTGCGGGTCTATCACAACAGAAATTTGGCCTGCAGTTGATCAACTAGAATTCTTCTCGAAGATAAAACTTCCAGCAGATCTCAGGAGGAAAGTAAAGGAAAGACTTCATTATTATGTACGAGATCAGATTGCGCTGGATCTAATTGATAAACTATTAGCAATAGACCCTACAAAGCGTCTAAACAGTGACGATGCACTCAACCACGACTTTTTCTGGATTGACCCAATGCCATCTACCCTTGCTAAAATGCTTACACTGCACACACAATCTATGTTTGAATTTTCTGCACTTTCACGCAGACGAATGCATCATCAGTCCCAACAAAACTTTAAGAAACCACCGCATGGTGTTGACATGACCTTTGACCGGGTATTCTAGAAAATTTGTTGCTGTATTTATAAGGGGGATTATACATGGTTTAAAATTAATTTTTTAGGAGACCTAGAAATATTTAAAGAGATGAGCAAAAATCTAAAAAGTTTTGTTTAAATTTTAATGCATTTAGGAAAGGTTTACTGTTTTTTTTTTTTTTTTTTACAGTTTTGTGTATTAAAATACACTGTTTTCCTTTAGTTACTATACTGAAAAGTTTAATAATATTTTCTTTATATAAAATAAGAAGTAAAACATTCTACATACTGTATTATATTGTTAAAAAACAGTAATTATTGTACAGATTTTTTTAAAGTTAAAAAGTATTATTGTGTCAGTAGAATAAAAAGGGTTATATTGGCAGTCATGAAACTGAAGAATTATTTTTTGTTATGGTTAGTGTTTCAAAATTATTTTCTTTAAGTCTGAGGTGCAACGATAAGGGTTATATATTAAGAGTGATGATACTGAAAAATTAATTTTTTATAATTAGTGTTGCAATTTTATTGTGGAAGTCATTGGGATGCAACAAAAAAAGTTTATTGACAGTGATGATACTAAAATTTTTTTATGATTAAAATGTTTCAAAATTATTTTTAGGAAGTCAGTGGACGTAACATCCTTAAATAAATTATGATCAATTTCAGGCATTGTTGGAGTACAATAAATGTATAAATTGTCAACTTGATTACAATTCTATTACTTTGATCAAACATTATACAGTACTTTACATTTTTGGTATATAATCAAGTTCATTTAATAAATATTTATGATAAGGCCTTACAGTTCTTAGAATAAATTAGAGAATGACTCATGGGTATCGATCGGTGGTGGAAATTATATCAATTGTGCCCCCCAATCTTCTAAAATTAAAACCCCACTTTTCAAAGATAGTGGAAAGAACAACAATTATGCATGACTGAATTTTGTCTGTTCACTTGTGCGTTTTTCCAGACCAAAACCAAGTTTTTTATGGTTGCAACGGTTATCAGGTGCTAAATTTATTGTGAAAACAATGTACTGTACGTTATTAAAATTGGAAGCGTGTATTCCTACAGTATTAGGCCAATATTTTTACAAACTCAAAAGCGCACAATTTCTACTATAAAAGATTTATTCCTTTTGTATATTATTATGACCCGTACGTATATACTAGTGTTTAATATTATCTGCATACATAGATATCTATTTCTCCTAATTTCAAAAAAATTATAGTTTAAGTCAACTGAATTTTATATAGCCATTATTAAACAATAATTATACAGCCTTTGACACAGACAGGTCTACCTATTTCGGTTTATTTAAGTAGTGATACTTTTTTCAAGCTCCATTGTTACATTGATGCAATCTTGCAATGGCATCATAATAATCGGTGGATTCAAGTGGGGCACAGATGACCTGCCCCACCCTAAATTTTATTTTAAAAAATGGAAAATTATAATTAGCAATTAGGTCTAAGAGTGCAATTTCTGGCTATCTAGAAGTATCATAATCATAAATTTTCTTACCTCAGCCCCAACCATGGTGGGGATGAGAGGTGGTCTAGTTTCCCAAACTGCGAAAGCTCCTCCGTCCTCCCTCTATTATGCTTTCCTGGATCCGCCACTGATAGTGATAAATTAAGTAAATCACCTTTATGTTTGTGAAATAAAAATGCTACAGTAACTACAGTAATGTTTTGTGTGCTTCCTATCTGCCAATCCTGTTTGATTATAAATTAGACGGTGGGTCCCTGTGGCCCAAGGCCTTTTTATTTTGTATTTCGTCCTCCCCCCCCCCCACTTTCAACCACGGATCGACACCCTTGGAATGACTTATACCAGGGAACAGTGAAACTTGCCTAAGTCGGCTTTGCCTAACTGAAATAATTTCAAAGTCAATCTTACAGTATTTTACATGCCAAATTGTTTTCCATTAATTAACAATCTGTAGGCTTAAGTCGAATTTTATGCAAGTCAAACAATTGTTCAATGCCATGTTGGATTCCACTTAGGCTAGTTCAACTGTACATACAGTATTCTTCATTTTCTGAAAACACACCATTTATGTTCTTAAAGTAATAGCTAATACATAAGCCAAAACATAAACATGGTTTAATATTGAGGTGCAGCTTAGTGGCTATGATGATTGCTTTCCAATTCTGTTTGAGCACTGTAATTGAGAAGTGCCCTGTTGGATATGTGTCCATGCAATACAGTACATTATGAAATAAATAAATAAATGTGTATTTGCATTGGCTCATTGCTATATGGCAACATTATGCCAGTGGAGCTGAGAAGTTGCATGTCCTGTATCTTTGTGGTGCCGAGACACTTTTAATACTTTGTTTAGTGAACTTTTTAATTCGGAGGGTGAAAAAAAAATAATAAAATTTTGTTTTTTTATTTAGCAAAATGATTTTGCCAAAAGCACTAGGGGGAGAGGAAATATAATAAAATGTTATTGATAAATGTAAACAGAGTAGTAATGAAATTGATAAATGCTTTAAATTTATATAATTTAAGGAAGAAATATGTATGCCTTATGTTTGTAAACAGGATATAAAAATAAATAAATAAAAAAAAGTGCGACCTATCAAATCTTGAAAGTGATGCTATTGTTTTGATAATTTCTGAATATAACTATGATGTTAATGATCGTGATGATGACACCTTTATTTTCCAACACAGCACGAGAAATCTTTGTTATGCCTGTCAATATTATATCAAATCAATCGGCAGTTTCATGTGTGGGCATCAAATACTAGTAGTGTGTGTTGTATTCAATCACCTACAATCGGATTCGAACTTCAAACAACAGCCTTAATGGTCCAGTTGATTAAGATATCTGCAGACAGCAGATTTCTGGTTTAAATTCTGGTTGGGACGATTTTTACACACATTAACGCAAGACAGTTCATCTCTTCACTTGTAACATTTCCTATATTTTTAAGTGTATTACATATATACTGTATATATATATATATACAATACTATACCTTAAGTAGTAAATAATTGGAAAGATACAATATGTTATACTGTACGTATTATTCCATTGATTTTTATTATTCACTGACCAATAAAATAATCAACTAAAAAGACAATATTAATAACAGTAAAATCCAGGCTTTTCAAAATAAAAAATATTAACAAATTGTGCCACTTTCACACCAATGTGTTCACCAACTGACCGTATCAGTAATTAACTGATGACAACACAATGTTGGACATGGTACTGATCAATGGGTGCTGGTGTTTTTTTAATCGTTTCTCTATTCTAGTTAAGACCGTTTTGCGTTGAGGATCTTGATAGCGAATTTGCTCACGGAAGTACTGTAAATAATATCATAACAAGATAGACCATTACAGATTGTCAAAATTAACCAACCAATCAGTACAGGTCCAGGAGTACACACATGCCACACAAAAGCATGAGTTTATACCACAATTGTGTGTGTGTATATGTATATATATTAGTATGTATATATATATATATATATATATATATGTGTGTGTGTATATACATATATAATATATATATGTATATACATGCTTCAATTCCTTGTTTCAACGCCTTTTATATATATATACATAGATACAGGATATGAGGCAAAAAAAAAAAAATTGTTACGTAAGCTTGACCCAAAATATATAATATAGGGTAGCAGGGTTCTTTTTTACAATTCAATGTCATTAGCACTCAGCAGTGAATCAAACTTGCTTCAGTCAATCACTAAATGCACAACAAAAGGTTACCACTTTATCAGCCAAAACATATGGTGGTTAAAACAATACTTGGCCATGAACATAAGAATTAGGCCTAGACTTACAGAAAATTTGACTAACCAAATCAAACTGACCAAATTAAATGTATTTAATTAACACAATATTTTTGGCCAGCTGTTAATAGATGATTATTAAGATAAAGTTGGTAAAGTTGTATACAGAATACATAAACTTTTATTATAAACATGTAATTCTACATTATTATCTACTTTTAATTATAAAAATGAGTACACAGTAGTATAAAAAGATAGCAGTTGCTGACTAATTTATGTAAAAATTTAATACTGAGCTACTGTAATGCAGTATGCCCATTAATTTTACAATTGTAAAGAGAAGTACCTAGAGAAATGCAAATTAGCTCAAAATACTCGATCAAATGTTTGATCATGTGACTGGGGGAGATTAGCGGGCCTGCGAGATGGGGCTGCATGAGCTTGCTGCTGGATTCGTCTGCGGGGAGGTGCTAAGAATTCAAACATTGATTGTGTATGTATTGACAACATCTTGGAGAGAGAACATGGCATTGGATCTAACCAAAAAAAGTCATGATTAAGGGCGTCATCACTATTGAGACGACTGGCTGGATCGAGCCATAAGAGTTTGTCGATAAGGTCCAATGCAATCTGATCCTTCACATACGCTTTGAGACGTTCTTTTACTTTTCGTTTATGTCCCTTAGGAAGTTCAAGTTTTGAAAAGAATTCTAGTTTGTCAACACCAGCCCAGGTGTCAGGTGTGATCGACCCACACAAGTGAGAAATCAAAGTTAACTGGTGTTGCTCTGTGTTGCCTTGCATTATGGGACTGCGTGTCCACATCTCGGCCATGATACACCCAGCACCCCACATGTCAATGGGTGGGCCATAATTCCTCTCTCCCAGTAACAGTTCCGGTGGTCGATACCAAAGCGTTACAACACGATTAGTGTATCTGTTGGGTTGGCTAGGCTTGGCATGGCTGAAAGCCCTGGCAAGTCCGAAGTCTGCTAATTTTAACTTTCCTTCCTTTGTTATCAAAATATTTGCAGCTTTCATGTCTCTATGTAGGATCTTGTTGCTATGAATATAATAAAGTCCATTAAGTAGTTGCTTCACAACCTCCTTTACCTCAGCCAATGAGAACTTGACATTTGCATTGCTTAGCAACCCAGCTAAATCATGCTCACAGAACTCAAATACAAGAAATATACTGCCTTTAAAACGGTTAAATGCAGTTGCTGAAATGAAAAATAATACTTGTTAACACTTCACAACATAATTGTAAATTGATAGTGTTTGTAGATCATTCATCAAAGAAAGATTAATAACTGAATGTAAACTCACCCTTTGTTCGGCAAATCTCAATCAGGTGAACAACATTTTCGTGCCTGAGAAGCTGTAGGATCTTTATTTCTCTTAATGCAGTTATTGGAAACTATAGAGTAGAAAAAAACATCATTGAACAAATGGTATGTTAATTGATACTGTATGTAAATATTGTTTAAAGAAATAAACATAATTTTGAGATAGATGTACATAATGTAAAGTATACCCAACTAATTATCATAACTATCCCATCATCTATTTAAGGTTAAGGTTAGGGTATGCCTCATAAATGTAACAATAAGTGGACAACATTGGCCATCACCTCATAAAGGTATGGTCAACTGGACAACACAGATCATCATTTCTTGAAGGTATAGTTAAGTGGACAACACGGATCATCACTTCTCAAATGTACAGTATAGTCAACTAGACAACACTGATCATCACTTCTAAATATATGGTAAAGTGGACACTAATGATCATCACTTCTCAAAGGTATGAATATTGTTTAAAAATAATAAACAAAATTTTGAGATGGAGGTACATAATTTAAAGTATGCCTCATAAATGTAACAATAAGTGGACAACATTGGCCAACACCTCATAAAGGTATGGTCAATTGGACAACACAGACCATCACTTCTCAAAGGTATGGTTAAGTGGACAACACGGATCATCACTTCTCAAAGGTATGGTTAAGTGGACAACACTGATCTTCACTTCTCACATGTATGGTTAAGTGGACAACCCCAATCATCACTTCTCAAACATATAGTTAAGTGGACAATATCACACAATGTAAGGTCAAGTGGACAAAACTGACTACTCTGCACTGGCCTATGTCTCATTTACTGTATTTTGATGTTCACATGGGAAGATCACTTGATAAGGTACAGTAAGCTGCTGATCCCCAGTCAAGTAAACACAGTTTATGTGTTCTGTTTCTTTGTTCATGTGTATTTCAGTCTAATGTATTTGTAATTTAATGTAATTTTTGTATTTTACTGCCACTGATAAAAAAAAGTGTGCTATTAGTATAATATTTTTTTTAAAATAATTATAAGATTAATATTGTAATTATTAAGGCTAAGTGGACAACACTGAAATTATTCATGCACATTCACTACCAGTATCTTTTTTCATCCCCTCCTTAATGTACCAGTCCCATACAACTATACAACCAATGTATTGATGGGGTACTAGCTAAAATTTTGCACACCTCTTTTACTATCTACAAGTAGCATTTTTTCGCACAAATTTAAGTGCACAATTTCAAATATTACTTTGTTTTCTTTAAGAAAACCTCATCGATTATGTGCACTTCATATTGAAACAAACAACTTATTTTCCAGTTACGGACAAATGCAAATTATTTTATATTATTTTAAATCTGAATAGTTTAAATTTGAAATACATACTCCTTCCTTTTCATTCTCCATAAGGACTTTCTTAAGTGCCACCACTCTTCTGTTCCTTTTGTGCCTTGCTTTGAACACCTCTCTGAAATTAAATAAACAATTAATGAGAAAACAGCAATTGTCAAAACAATGAAATAGTAAACTAAAGCCCTGCTCACACTATCAAATTTTATTTGACAAAAACATGCGACGTGCCTCAATATGGGCATGATGACATCACATCATGACTATATATAGGCACATCATGACTATATATGGGTACCGTACATGTGTGAATATGCGCTCCGTTTGTATAAGCGCCCCTCTCGAATAAACGCCCGTTGATTCCTAAAAAACTTCAATCATACAGTACAGTACATCACCAACTTAATTTTCTGCATTAATTATTCGCATTTATCTTAGCACTGTCGGTCAGTCCATCTATCGGTCTATTAGTCTCCATTAAGTTTAGCATGGTTTTCAGTTTTGATGCATCTTTAGAATCCCGGCTTTTTTTATTGCTACACTTTTGGATTTAGAACTACAGTATTTAATATCTAAAAATTTAAATACTGTATGGCCTATTTTCAGTCAACAAAAATAAACTGACCTCATCTCTCTCGTATCTAAGCAAAAAAACCCTGCAATGATCCTGCTAATCTGAATTGGCAGATGGTCAACATTCTTACCACCACCACCAACACCACCACTAATTTCATCTGCTGTTGTGTAAATACCCCCAATATTATGGTCATGAGCCATTCTCTCTCGACGATTACCTTTTCTTCACCAAAACCATTCATTTTATTTTTAAAAAAGTGCCCCTTGAATTTTCCAATTTCCTATAAGCACCCCTTAAATTTTTATCTACAGTATTTCCATACGAGCCCCCTCAATTTCCACTCTGTTTTCATAAGTGCCCTGTTTGAATAAGCGCCCCTCAAAAAGAGCCAAAAATATTTTAAGTATTCGCGCGAGTACGGTATTAGTCTGGACAGAGCTTAACCTTCCATCAAGATAACTTTTCTCTCTTTTACTCATCGTCAATGTATCCAATATTATGATTTGGGGTGGAGGATGCAGGGATGCAAAAAATGTACAAAACTTGGAGCAGTGGGAGTAGCCGGTTGGATTGCAGTTTCTATTTTTTCGCTGTGGTCCACCCTAGCCGCCGTCGCCCCCCCACATAGGACATTCAAATAGTACTGTTTGAATATATACCGTACCCGTAGGGGGAAATTACAAAATCCTACAAAAAATACGGCTATAATAATTACACTGTGTATATCAATGATGATGTACTGTAAAGTAAGGATGTACAGTCTGTCTCAGTCAGAGCAGTCTATCGATTAAAGACGATCACTGTGTGCTGCACTTAAAAAAAACTGCACCACCAATTGTCCGCTCTACAATGGAATAAGTCTCTCATCATCAGTAGACTAAGTCGCGGCGGTTGAATAGATCTAAGTTTTTCTAGCCTGCCCTCGGCTGGCAAGAAGTTAGGTCTACTACCAAAGAGTATAAAACTGCAAGAGGTCCAACTGCCCTTATTTTGTACACAGGCAATGGAACTTTAAAAAGTACTCCCATGAAGGGGCGTGTCCTTCGTAAGAACGTAAAAGGCATTCGTATCGAACGCGTGCTGCGTTTCGAATTCCAGCATACATTATATAGACGCGCAGCACGATATGAACGCACTTTACGTTCTTTTAAAGGCCACGCCCCTTTTGGGTAGTACTTTTTGAAATAGGATTGCGTTCCAAACAATCCCCGGCAGTCGGACCTCTTGCAGTTTTATACTCTTTGCTACTACTAAGCCCAATCGTCTGTCGTCACTGTCAGAACTAGGATTCTCTCTCTCTGTTCGCCAATGCCTTGATATTTATCTTTTTCTGATTTTCTTCAAATTCTTGATTTTTGTTTCGACATCCAAAAAAATATCACTAGCCTATACTGTAGATAAATCATCAGCCATGGTGTTTTGGGTTTTGTGTTTCTTTCTTGATCCTTCGTTCGCAGCGGTCTTGGTTTGATGACGTTATAACTCATATTAGCTAATCAGAGAAATAGACCAGCATAATATCGATGTTGGCAAATTTAATAAACACTACCATTTTTTGAAAGTTTAAATGTTGTTAGGTTAGTACTTCTTAATGTATTTTTATATCTAAATTTACATCTTTTACATGTGCTACTTGTATGTATTTTAAGCTGTTAGTGGCAGTTATCACTGTTGGTTAATACGAATAAAATAAATAAAAATAAATAAATAAAATATCCTAATACTGAAATTATAATAAATATGTATGACTTATGTTAAAAGACGGTGGAAATGGCAAACAACATGTTTTATTCTCCAATGCAAGCCTAAACCAGGTATAACATACAAGAAAACAGTGTACAGTAATTTTAAGTTAACCATGGTTTAACACACTAAAAAATTCTCACCAGTAACTGATAAGAAGCCTATTTATTTGTAAAGTACTGTAAGGATACCTTAATAGGAACCCACAAATCCCCATTAGAGCCTCCTTTGGCGTGTTTCTATTAGCTTACAGTAGTATAGAGTACCACAGTCGTGTCGTCACAACGTCAGGTAGCGTCCTCTGTTGCCAACCAGACGTTGGTTTACCATTCATTACGCCTGAATGCCTGCATAGGCTTTCTGGAATAGGCATCTTAAAATCAAATATTTTACCATCAAAATGTACTAAAAACACAAAAGCTCGCATTATATTAGTTATCGAACACACATTTAATCCTCAATTAAAATTTACAAACAAAAAGTAAGATACAACATCTTAATTAAATTACGTTAGAAATTGGGATCAATGGTTTGTCAGTGGAGAAAATGGAGACTGGTTGAACGCATTTTCCAACGATAGCAACGGAGTAGTATCACATGTAACGTAACACTGTACAGTAGTACTCTATAAACCGAGCCATTTGCAACTGGAGCGATTCAAGTTTATCGATCTTTCCTGCTTTTGCTAACCCAGACAGAAGAAGCACAATTTAACGTTAGAAGGGCAATAGTTTTCCATAGAATGTCGCCATAAAATATTCTAAAATTATCAAATCGGTCAATAATTGATTTGATATTGGCGATAATTCTATTAACTTAATTTAATGTTTGGTCAATATGAAAATGATGAGATGATGAGATGCTTCGCGAGATGTGGGTACCAAGTTATTTATAAGTTTCAACTTCTGAAATATCTTTTTCACCTATAAATTTCCACTTCTTAGAATTATTTATTTATTTTCGACTTTTCGTGATTAGAGTTTAGTTTCCACATGTCCTAGCAAATTCAGAAGCTAAGTTAAGCATTAAGTATATTATGATAGTCTTATTCCCTTTGTATTGTGTCGGTCGTATATAAACAATACATGACTTTTACCGTATATGTAGCAATAAAAATTGAATTGAGTCACTAGTGATTTGTTGGCTTGTTGTACTTTTAGGCTGACAGTAGTAGTATTATTATTTGAATAACATTTCAAACAAATAAGGAAAGGAATGAAAATATAGAGCGGGTCAAAAGACTTCAAGGCTTCATGGGTATTCTTCATCGGCCCCCTGGGGTCCAAGGTCCCTGACGAAGTGGCTGATTTCCCAGACGAGAACAAAGTGGGCATGGTTGGGCATGGCTAAAACCTTGTGAAAGTGGTGGGGAAGTCCCCTCCCCCAAAAAATGACAATTGAGGGATATCAAAGGCTTATATAATTGATTTTAGAGTCTATTAATATGTAGAAAATAAAAATATTTGTTTTTCTCCCTGACGAATTGGGGTTTTCTCCCCGGGGTGGGGGAAATCCCCTGCACTAGATATACTGTATTAGAGTGTCCAAAAATTCAAATAGCACTGTTCGGATATATACCGTACCCGTAGGGGAAAATTATAAATCATACAAAAAATACAGGCAATTACACTTGTGTAATAACAATGATACAGTATGTACAGTAAGGTACAGTCTGTCTCCGTCAGAGCAGTCTCAGTCTACCATCAGAATCGATTAAAGAAAATCATCGTGTGCTGCACTTCAAAAAACTGCACCAACAATTGTCAGCCCTATACAGTGGAATGAATCTACCATCATCACTAGCCTACATTCTTACAAACCTATGACGGTCTAAGCTACTCCAAGGCCTACAGGCTAGGCTAGCTAGGCCTAGACTACTACTACTACTAGGCTAGGCTTATAATTAAACAGGTTACAGGAGGCTGACTATTATTATTATAAAGAGTTTAAACTTCTAAATTTTCCAGTCGGTATCACCAGTTTTCGATGATCTTTCATCAATATTAGGCCTACAGCAAGTTTTAGCTCTTTAGTTGTGTCTAGGTCTAGGAAAATCGCTTAACATAAAGTGCAAAAAGAACCAAGGTTTTGCTATAGGCCTAGCCTAAGCCTACAGCAGTAATGATGGCCGGATCCGGGAGGTCACTTCCATGCCAGCCCCCTAACTAACCTAGGTCCTAGGAGGAGCTAGGCTAGATTTTTGTTTCACTTACCCGAACGTTCCTTGGCCAATTTTCGCCAGTTTTTCATATTTTGTAACCTCATCACAAAACGGAAACTCTACGGAGTCGTATTTGTTATTCAGAGCACTCGAAGACATTAATCAATTATTCAATTAGCACAAAATAAACAAGAGAGAATATTCTTGCTTCTCCTTTCCCAATTCGTTCCGCTTAGCTATGGAACGCCAATAGGGCAACCTTTAACACAATAGGCGTATTCGACTGGTCTTTTTCCGAGAAGCACGGAGTGTGCTCGTTAAAAAACAGCGAGGAGCTCGAGCCGCTCTTGTGAGGAGTTCGTGCTGCATGCTCGTGCGACCAGTCGAATACAACATGTGCAGTTTGAGTAGAAAGAGCTGCTCAAAACAGACCAGTCGAATACGCCTAATGATTATACAAACAGTCCAACGAATTACCAAAAAAATGAATATACAAGCCTCCAATGAATATGCAAACAGTCCAATGAATATGCAAACACTCCAATGGATATGTAAACACTCCAATGAATGTGTAATAATAAATTTAAAAAAATGTTATTACCAGTATAATTATGATAGTGGCATGCAATGATAAACAAATTACATGTTGTTTCGTTGAAACATAACGATCACCAGTAAAGTATTTTGGATGCCTTCAAAGAATGCGATGGTCATCTTGTAAATACTTACCAATGTTTTGAATATAGTTTTTATGTGATAAGATATTACCCCTTGACGGCGATTGTGATGGCAGTGAACAAAATTGAAAATGAAATTAGAAATACAATATGGTATGTGCTCTTGCAAAAATTATCAATTCATACTGTAATATTTTTTATACAATATCTTATAGTTAATATCACAAAACAAATAACAGTAAGTTTTAACAGGAATTGTTTTCTTTTTATATAACGTATTTTACTACTGTATGTTATAACTAAATAGTTCCTAAAAACAAACATTGGCTACACTTTTTTTATATAAAAAAGTAAAATTGTGCCGATTGACCGATCTCAGACTAGACTCAAACTATTATAATTTTGTTCTTATTTTTAAACACTTTTCAAACACAGAAAATTATTATTGTACAGCATAGGCCTATATTACTATACTGTCATATAGAGGGTTTACATTGTCACAGCAACTGCAAAATACCGTACTCGCGCGAATAAGCGCCGGGGCGCTTAAAATATTTTTTTTTTTTTTGCCCTTTTTGAGGAGCGCTTATTAAAATACAGTGGAAATTGAGGGGCGCTTATGGAACTATATGAAAATTGAGAGGTTCTTCTGCAAACTTGGATAATTCAATGGGCGATTTTTGAATGAAAAAAATTATATAAGGACGTCCGGAAACCGAAGGTTACGAATGGTTCTGGTGCAGAAAAGATAATCGTCCTGAGCATCATGGCTCGTGACAAGAATTCTGTGAAAACTAAACAAATTCTAACCATTTCATTTCGTTAATCGGACAATGCACGATCAAGCCACATTAATCATAGGATATATGAACTTATGAACGGCATTTATAAAAGTTGTATTTGGTAGTGTTCAATAAAACATACAATTCTATCCTATAATTGCATTCTTTAATGGTCATCGTTACACAGAATTTATTTATTTTTTTTTTTATCATTACACTATCATAATACTGGTAAAAACTCAATTAATGGAGTGTTTGAATATTCATCGGAATTTTAAATACTCATTGGAGTTTTTGCATATTATTGGAATGTTTGCATATTAATTGCTGTATTTATATATTCGTTGGAGTGTTTGTTTATTCGTTGAAGTGCTTGTGTAATCATTGAAGTGCTTGTGTAATCATTGAATTGTTTGAAAGGTTGCCCTTTTGGCGTTCCATACGTAGCGGCGCTACACGATCTGAGCTTACCCATTTTTGCCCCCGTATGATGAAACTTCACTCGGGCCATCCTCGGATTGACTCGACTCGAGTTCGATACGTGAACAAGAGGAGGTTTCACTATTATTGCTCTAAAGGCCTGTCACGCCAAAATTGGTCCTGGCCCAAAAATAGTCCGTAGATTATGGCCGCCAACGTCGGTCCGCCGGACTAAGTTGGGCGCTAAAATCGGTCCACCGGGTCGATTTTAGCCGCTAAAATCGGTCCCCCTTGGATAAAATTGGTCCGTCGGCCTGGCGGCTCACGTTTGCTGCCCGTAGGGACGTATGATTGTTTCTCCTGTGGAGTGGAAGAAAGTAATAATTACCGTACTCGCGCGAATAAGCGCCCCGTTTGAATAAGCGGCCCTTCTAATCTGAATAATCGGCCCCCTCAATAACCCAATCAATCCTGGGACAGTGCATGTTGGCATGATTTGAGGTATGGAGTGGAATCACATTCTCCTTTAGTCAATATCAAAGTGAGGATATTTGACAGAATGATGAGAGCTCCCTGGACAGACAGTATATTTCCAACTTTCATCTTCTTTCATTTATAGTCCACTCCTTTTCCGACAATTTGCACCTTTAACACATTCTCATCTAAGTTTTCAAGAAAACCGGCAATGATCATGCCGTCCTGCTATTCTCAATCGACCGATGGCGAACAATTAAGCTAACCACCAGCACTAATTTCATCTGCTATTCTGCTGTTATGTAAAACTGTACTCACAACATTCTTGTCATGACAAGCCATGCTCTCTGGACGATTATTTTTTCCGCCGCAGCACCATTCGTAATTTGCGGTTTCCTGATGTCCTTATTTAATCGTTTTTCATTCAAAATGTGCCACTTGGATTTAATAAGTTCTCATAAGAACCCCTCGATTTTCATCTATTTCCATAAGCGCCCCCTCAATTGTTTACACTCTGGTTTTATAAGCACCCCGTTCGAATAAGCGCCCCGTTTGAATAAGCGCCCCTCAAAAAGTGCAAAAATATTATTCGCGCGAGTACGGTATGCTTCTCCCACACTTGAAAAATCTTTTGCAGTAACAGAATGATTCGTATTTAGCTTTTGTGGACCCCGTTGTTGACGAATTTTATCAAAACGTTTGTAACTAACTGTTACCTTCTTGTATGTCATTATTAAATGTTTGTATAATGTCTACAGCAACAGCTAGTACCCCCTTCTATAAAGTGTAGTACCAGTAGAAAGTAGAAAAGGGGGATCTATAGGCCTAACTACAGGCTTAACTAGGCCCCTCCCTAAACAAGGCCTAGGTCCCTTAGGGTACATGACGCCATGACGTTGATTGAAATTTGGAAAAATTTGAAAAAAAAAAAAAAATTTGAAGTAGGAAATATAAAATGGGAAAGTGCATAACAGAAATATTATCAAATAATAATAAATTAAATATATAATTCCGGCATTAATGAACTTGGCCAAACTATCCTTGTAATGCAATTAATATGAAATAATAATAATAATAATAATAATAATAATAATAATAATAATAATAATAATAATAACAATAATAATATTGGCCAAACTATCCTTGTAATGTAATTAATATGAAATAATAACAACAATAATGATAATAATAATAATAATAATAATAATAATAATAATAATAATAATAATAATAATAATGAATATCTTCTGTGTTATTTCCCATTAACGTTGTTTTTTTAATTGTTCTCTAATTTCTCCATTGTCCAAGTTCCCCTTAAGGTAGGTTTTAGTAACATAATAATAATAATAATAATAATAATAATAATAATAATAATAATAATAATAATAATAATAATAATAAAAATAAATAAATAAATAAATAATAATCATTTTGGCATTAATTAACTTGGCCTAAGCCTTGTAACCAAGAACCTACAGATAATATTACTATCTATAATGAATAACTAGGAAGGGCTTCATTTATACATTCATTGGTGCTCTGCCATTTTGGCATGTCTTATGGCATCCAGTATTTTAGAGCTGCCTATTCTCAGCTTTTCTCCTAATTTGAAAATGCTGCTACCCTGTTTCATTTGATGCAGAAACGCGCTTTTCCTTCCTCTTTGTGCTTTACCCTCAGTTCCAAAACTGTTTAAACTAAGTGATCACATTCTCTTAGTACATGACTAATCCAAACTATCTGGGTGCCTTAAATATAGTGTTTAGTAGTTCTAGGCCTAGGCAATTATGCAAAACCCAGACCTAACTAAAAAATAAAAATTTTTACAGTATGTAACTCAAATTTAAATAACACTTTTTATTACTCGTGCAGCTCAATCCAATATTTCGTCATTTTAAACGGCCTATTAGTACTGTATTGGCATTGTAACATCTATGTATTTTTTGAATCATACAGCGACGTTATCTCAGAAGTTGTTTTGTAGAAGTTTATTATAAGATCTTTGGTTTGCAGTTAACCAATTAAATGAGATACTCTTAAATAAAAAGACTTTGTCAAGGCCCATATATATCGTCATTTAAACGGCCCATTAGTGCCGTATTGGCATTGTATCATCAATGTATTTTTTGAATCAGACAGCGACATTATCTCAGAAGTTGTTTTGTAGAAGTTTATTATAAGATCTTTGGTTTGCAGTTAACCAATTAAATGAGATACTCTTAAATAAAAAGACTTTGTCAAGGCCCATATATATCGTCATTTAAACGGCCCATTAGTGCCGTATTGGCATTGTATCATCAATGTATAAAGCAAGCCTGGATTATAAGACATACTGTAATTTACAAATGGACGTATCCCTTTAAAAGTTCCTCATGTCCACACACCCTACTCCAGATCGTCACCAAAAGTTAATAATTTCTTCTTTGGAATATGATAAACTATTCGGGAAAGTTTGATTTAGATCCATTGATATGGTTATTTTTTATAGATAATTTAGGCCTAGGACGTTAGCACTTTCAATGACCCACTAATTTCCCACCCGAAACTGGATCGTCACCAAAGTTTAATAATTTCTTCCTTTAAACTTGGTTAAACTTTTCAGAAAGTTTTATTCAGATCAGTTGATAACTTTTTTGTATATCTGGTCTGCTACACCGTACTTTGGATTGTCACAAACATTATTTCTTTATTGGACCATGACGAACTATTCTGAAAAGTGTCATTAAGTTCCATTAATATGTCTTTAGAGTTATTTAGGTCTGGGACTTTAGCACTTTAAATGACCAAATTCACACCAGAATGTTGATAGGCACCAATAATAATTTCTTCCTTGTAACTTTTTACCGTTTCACTTACATCAGTTGATCAGTTTTTAAAATATCTAGTGTGGGATATTGCCCTTTA